CGCTGCGCAGCCGCCGCATGATTTCTGTTCTCACCCTGAACCAAAGTTCTTAACCCGAGGTAATACTTCTGGGTTAGTGGAGTCTGTAACCTGAAGCGTATGTAACCCGAGGTACCACTGTATTAGCAAAACTGAAGATTATTTTAGGTACCATGCTATAGATTTTTTTAAAGCCAAGAGCCCAGCTTGGGACCTTCCTTGTGTGTGTATGCCTGTCTTGATGTGCAACAGTGTGCAGAAACTAGCTGACTCTACAAAGGTAAAAAATCACATTTGTTTTCACCCACACCCACCGCTATAGCCAATTCCTGCAAGAACTCCAAAACACAGGCTTCATGGATCCATGTGCAAGTAAGCATTGTCATGTACAGACCAACCCAAGTAGTGTCCACATAATGGATCCTCCCTGGCATTGATGAATCATGTAGGACTGGTCTCTGCAGTGCGTTGCTCCTAGAGTGCATTGCCCCTGTTGCAGTGCTGCTGCGGTGTGAACATAAAAGCTCTGCTGGGTCAGTCCAGTCTTCTGCTCCCAGTGGCTGAGAAGGTGCCCCATAGGGAGCCCCAAAGAAGGAAGGGTGCATGGCTGCCCTCTCCCACTCTTGTGAGAGGCATACCACCTCTTGACACTACACCAGTTGTAAGCATTAGCTTTGCTTTTGTTCCCTTTTTATAAAATACAAGAATCAAAAGATATTTATTTTCACAATCTCCCTGCTTACCCTCTCTGGGTTGGTTCACACATGCGCACATCCTGCAGTCAATCACAGCTGATGCGCCTGCAGTTCATCACTCAACGTTGCAGTCGCCGAATGAACTCCTTGCCTCCACAATTATCTGCTGTCACTTGACCCAAGTTGTTCAGAGGAAGGCTAGAGCTGGTATTTCTCCCACTATGCAAGTGGTCAGGGTTTTGTGCAAGCTTGCTCCTTAGGGTTTTCAAAATGAGTCATGTGCAACCAGGAAGTAAGATGTTAAGATAGGCTAGAGAACCAACTTGATGCAGTAGTTAAAAGAGGGTTGGCACATCTGTAGCATCCCAGATTTTGTTGGGACTACATTCCCATCATCTGTGACCATTGGCCTTGCAGGCTGGAGGGAAAGAGGTTCCTCATCTCTGGGCTAGAGTGCCAAACTAGGACTGGCCATGGAACTCACTGGAGGACCTTGGGCCAGTCATCATCTCTCAACTTAACCTCCCTCACAGGGTTATTGTGAAGATAAAATGGGGACTGAGGACTATGCATACACAATGCACTCCTCAGAGGAAGGGCAAAAGTAAAATGTATTAGGTACATCAAGTAGCTTAGAACATGAACATTGTGCTAGGGGAGACACTTCCATCAGTATTAGATGGTGGGAATGGGGAGAATAAAAATGGTTGTGACATCTACATGACTTCTGGCACATTTCTCTGCTGCTCTAAACGTTTTTATGAAATAACTTCCATTTCCACCATTTCATGACAGAAATTGTAGGACACAGCTATTGACCAGATGGATTCTAATCACAAGCATCTTTTAGGTCCTTCTCCGGAAAGACTCAAAGCCACTCCTGCACTCTTTTCACATCCTCACACCCCTTCCTGGAGACACACAGGGAATCAGATAGCAATGGCCCACAATGCCTTTTCTTCTTTTGTATTATTTACAGAGCATTATAAATAGAACGTTCTGTCCTCCCACATAGCTCTGGCATTGTCCAATGAAGTGCTTCTGGCGTATTCTGGTCAGCATATCAGAGGTCAAATATTTAAGCATTTTTTTACATTTACAGAACACCTTTCTTCCATTGTGAAACCCAATACATGCAGTCCAGGAAGTCTGCCTCCCAGCCAGGCATTGACCAGCCTGACCTGCTCAGCTCCAGCAAGGTGGTAGCATCAAGCCACCTATAGACCACACCCTAGGACCATATTATCTCCTTGTTACAGGAGAATTTTGGAATGCTTAGCTATTAGACTCCATCAAATTGTATTATGAATAATCAACGGTGTGCGCACACAAAAATTATGAAGGTGCAGATACATGATGCAAACTAGAAGCTCCATGAATGCCTGGAGCTCCCAATTGTTGGTTACATCAGATGGAATTTCGTGAGCAAATGATCTTCCTGACAGTGTGAACCCAGCACTGCACTGGTGCATAGCCCGTTTTGATAATTTGGAATGTTCTCTGTACAAGTTCAGGCATTTATCTTCTCTAGGTCTTGAACAGTCATTTTATATCCAGCCAATGTTCTCAGGCATATAGGGAGACCTTTTCAAAGGTGAAGAAACACAGGGAAGCAATGCATGTATGAAAACACTGTTGATGGAGGAGCCATCTGTATCACACACCCCTCAATCTTATTGCGTACAGCTGAAGCATCAGCCTTTGCCAACATGGTGCCCTACAAATATTCTGGATTCTCAGCAGGCTGACCAAACAGACACTGGTTGGGAATTGTGGTCCAAAAGAAACCTGGAAGACAGCACATTGGTGAAGACTGAGCTACGGTGCCTTCAGGGATATGCTGGATATTCAAATGAATGGCAGTGAAGGCAGTGATTCAGCCCTCTTGCTGTACTTATCATCACAGGAACTCAAGGGTGCAGCAAGGGCACTGGAAAACCAAGTTCCTTACTCTCCTGTACCTACCATCATCAGGGCATTTTGATAGCTGCGGGTACTGCTGATCTGATCTTGGTTCCAATTTATTGCTCAAGGGCAGGGTGAACTTCTGAAAGACTGCCTGAACAGCAGCTAAAGCATTTATACTTGTATTTTTCAAGGCTGCCAGGCCTGCGTACATTTCTCCATGCTCTTTCTCCCCTACTCCAAATTTAAACTTAAGTTTGGCAAGAACTGTAGTTCAATGGTAGAGCACATGATTTGCCTACAGAAAGTCCCACGTTCAGTAGCCAGCTAGTCCAGGTAGGAATGGGAAAATGTGGAATCTTGGACTACTGCTGCCAGTTAGCCAACCAAGTGGCCTTCAGACCTTTGGTACATCTAGCTCACTGCCACCTCTAGTGACTGGCAGTGGTTTGCCTGGGGAATATTCCTAGTCCTGGAGACGGCGGGGATTGAACAGTAAACTTCCTACATACAAAGCAGATGCTCTATCATGACTTAGCAGCCCTTCACCATGGATGCAGAGTTTGAAGGTATAAGGCTGGTTCCTATGCTCATATGCAATGTAGGGACAGTGAACTCCACATCTAAGCTGCTTTTGAGTGCTTGGGGTTAGCCAACCCTGTTGACTCCACTGCCAACTAGAAGTGGTCTAGGCCAGGCTAGGTGCATATTATGGAGTTTTTTTGTATGCTGTAGAAAGTGATTTTTGGTTTGTGGTTAGCTTTGGACTTAAACACAATTACGGAAGCACTACAAAGCGCGCACACGCAAAACCAGATGCAGAAATATCAAATGTCAACATGGAATGTTTAGATTCAGGATTTTTGTCAAATGTTCAGAGCTTGGGAAACTTTTGTTCACCACCCGAGTGGGCTCAGAAAACATCGCAAACAATGTCAAAATACAACAAACATATCTAAAAGACTGTTGAGCACTCTGACCTTATTTAAATGACTGGATGAGAAGAGATGCATTTGGCCACTGCAAAATGATGGGGAAACAACTTCATGGCTTAATTGGATCTGAAGCTAGAGAAGCTGCTGGTTCTTAACTATTTATGGAATAAATTCTCCAAGACTGTTGCTATCTCTCATTTGGCAGCATTGTTTCCACCAAGGGCCAATGCATCACTGTATCGAGAGGCCTTGAAACAGATGGATTTCCTACTTGCCTTAAATGCAGACAAAAGGAGGAGGGAACCCCTGGTGGGAAACACTCTCCCCTGGGATTACAGGCTTGTTCTGAGCTTCCTGTCAATAACTTCAGGCACAGAATAATCTTAACGCATCTGATTAAGATGGGATGCTGTTGGAGTCAGTGGGGGAGAACATGTAAAAATAGAAAATGTGTTTATAATAGGCAACATTGTTACAACTTCAGAGACATAAGGCTGTTTTCAGAGAACTTACATATTTGCTGCTCTCACCAATTTTTTACCACTAAAGTTAAAAAGAGGTGGGAAGGGGGATCTCCCAAAGGAGAATTTTGAAGGTATTATTGTGGGAAAGACACAGCTAGGCAGAAACCTTCACTAAATGCTCCTAATGCAGTGGTTAGACACAAGCTAACTGGGAAGAAATTCCCCATTAGAAACAGAGGGATGAGCACAGCACCTTGGCTAAAGCTGTTGGAGTGATGGGGAGCTGATGCACTCCAACTCCATCCATCCCTGGACATTCACTATCACTACTGAATTACCCAAATATAAACCATGTCAACTGCTCTGTTCAGTCCAAAGGGTCCATGCCAGCAACTTGAGGTTGCTACTTGCACTGCATAAAGGTGCAATTCCACTTGCTAGCCCATTGGGCAATGTGATGAGTAACCACAGTGATAGAATATATTCGTCATGCTGTACCAAGTGAAATCTGGCACAGCAGTGGATAAGCATGTGAGCTGTGAAGTCACTGGCTGAGTGGCTTGAGGCAAAGCGCTATAGCCCTGTCCGGATGCCTCGCGATTACAAAATGATTGAAAAGGACTTGCCCACACTTGCTGACCTTGCCACCTCTCCTGTGCCCTCCCCATGTGTTGGGAGGAGGAAGGTTTGAGCTATATGAATGTAAATTTCTTATGTGATTTGGGACCCTTGTTGTTTTGTGGGAGAACACCCCAATAAGGCTTAGAATAACTTCTCATCTACAACATGGAAGTATTGACCTACCTTATCCGAATGTTGTAAAGATTACTGCTAAGGAGAATATACTGAACCCTTTTATTAAAAGGCATCAAAGCAAACCAGTTCCAGTGGTCAAGAGGTGGACAGATCTCCTGTCTATAGTTTCTCCTTATACCGCCTTCATTTGTCCTAGAGAAGGCTACTCTAGGCCTTTTATGAAATTCTGACTAACAAGCAAAATGATCAAACCGAGCATGCATGCATAAAAACACTTGTATAAAAAATTTATTCTGTTCACAGGGCCAGTATTTTCTTGCTATGTAAATGGAATTTGTAGGAAGGTGAGGCAGGTATACAGAATACACACGAGTCTCCTTACCTTTACCTGTTTACATTACCTGTGATTCTGAAACATTCATTTCAGTATCTGGTTTGAATGTGCAAATTTAAGATAAACCAACCTCAAACGGGGATTTAAAAAGGCCCTAGGGGCTGCTGTCATGCCTGATTCATTTGGAGTGGCAGTGCCAAACAGCAGCAAGGTCAATGGTCCTAGAATGCAGATTAGCACCTGTAATACAGCAAATTGAGTGCTACCCAAGATCTGACAGTTATATGTGGTTAGATGTGTATGGCTAGTGTTTCCAATTATCCATACCTTTGAATATTGGTGGTTTTGAGGCTCCAATTTCTTGTGGTTTCAAGCATACCCAATTCTTGATGCAGGCCATAAGTGCCAATTTAAGAAAAGTGAACATGTGTCCTGTCTTTTGTACAAAGGCACAAGATGACATACCAGTCAACTCTGTCAAAGCAGGTTGACTAGCGATGAGTTCATGTTGGAGAATGCCTTAGCTCTCCAAACTCTTGAAAGCAAGACACATGGAAGATGCAGTATTCTGAGGCTCTCCAAGTCAAGAAAGCAAATGGTCTGATCTCTATAAAAAGTATAGCTATAGTCATCTTGAAGAATACAGCGCTTCCTTCCTAAACAATTGTCCTTGTTTGCTTCTAGAGAAGAGTGCCAAGAACCAGCCATGAAAAAATTGTTCTGGCTGTGGATTGGAGCTAGAGGGAAATCTTCAGAACCAGGCTGCCCCTAGATAACTTGATATATATGTAGGATACAACATGCAAGGCACTGTACAAAAATACCCAGAGAACTGGCAATCTACTATTTGGCTGCCAATGTCTATGGTGTAGAAGGCCACATGGAATCTTGACTGTGCCTCTGGTCCACAGTTCCTTGGGCATTTCATCCTAGAGCGCCTCCACACCCCACATCCTTCCCCAAAGCATCTCCTGACAGCTATTGGCCTGCAGCCAGCCATTCAGCTCTCTGGGTACAAGAACACACAGATGCTGGCATTGCGTTAAGTTGTAGGAATTTATTTTAAATAACCTACAGTTGATTAAAAGGGGATTCATGATAAAAATAGAAGATACTTGTTGAGGAAAGACTGCGGGAAACTTGTTTTTGCACCACACTAAGCTAACAATGCCTCTAAAACTAATGGATTATAGCAAAAAAGGTTTCACATTAAAATTCTGCTTTAATTTTTTTTAAAGTTTTTGTACACAATTACAAAAGAAAAAAAATAAAAAGACCTAAGATCTTGATTATTTTTCCTTTTTTTTTTTTTTTGGACCAAAGCTCGCTTCCCTCAAAATTTTTTTGACCTGTGAAAGTTCTTTTTACACAATAAAATCTTTCAAGTAAAAGAGAGGAGGGTGGAGTTTTCTTTTTTTTAAAAAAGGAGGGAGAAAAGAAAAACAACCCTGCCAAAAAAAGCAAAACAAAACCCACAAATGTGGATATTCCTGATATATATATATCTATATATATATATATATTATGTACTCAGAACAAAGTATGATGGGAAAACATTTTGTTACCAATTTATTTGTACTCATAATGCATCAACCCTCCCCAGCCCATTCCTTCCTACCCCCTGCAAATCTACATGATCTTTAAGATCAAGAAGAAAAAAAAGCTTAAATATTTTAAAATAATTAAAAGTAGTAAAAATTCACATTAACAAAAAAAGAAAGAAAAGAAAATAACACTCAAGTCAGGAAGGATCTTCCCATCATGCTTTGCTTTGAAGAGATGTTGTATTTTTATTATAGGTTTTCAATACCATGATGGTGGCAAGTAAAAATGAAAACAACTGGGTGTTTCCATGATGACTGTTGTGGCCAGAGCCAGTGTGCTGAGAGGGCTTCAGTTGTGTTAAATTAATTGAGGGAGACGGGGCGGGAAATTAAGGGAATCCATTTTCTATTAAAATATAGAAGTTATTGCAAAACCCTAACTGTAAAAACACACCAATATCTCATTGGATTCTGTATACAGTAGCTAATGATTTCCAAGCTCCTCAGTGTAATGGTGAATTTGCCTGGCAGAAGGTTAACAAATTCCCCCATCCACTTGTCCTTCCCCTCCAGAGACAAAAACACAAACCATACAGCTAGAATTTGGGTTTCTGAAACAGGTTTAAATAAGTTGTCCATAGGACAACTGGCTCAGCAACTCTATAATATTTCCAGGCCTATCTTTTCTCAAAGATGTTGGGTATTTCATCAGACACTCGCTTTCCCCTCCCGACACCCCCCTCCCCTCCCCCAAATATAAAGGACAAGTAAGGCTCACAGTTTTATCAATCTCCCTAAAACCAGGCTATTCCCCTTCTCATTCATAAGATTCAGCCCATTAAAATCAGGTTAGAATTCAAAGTCTTCATCTGCCATGTCAATTGCCCAGGCAAATTTCTCCCGTTGGGTTTTGTTATAGATCTTCTCTATAGGTATTCCAAATTTCTTGCACCTGGAGGGAGGGGGAGAGAGAGAGATAGAGGAATAAAAAGGGTGAACAGCAAGAGGTGTGTACAACCAAACAACTACAAAAGTGCATCCCAGCAGAACCAATGCCTCTTTTCCTTTCAAAGACTGAAGCAAGGCACTAGGATGGAGGCTGCTCTTTCTTCCCCAACAGGCAAGAGCTTACCAGGCAACAGAAATCCTAGGATCCAGATAATTTAGTTTGGAGGTCCCCAAGGCAATCTGCTTGTTTTCCTCCCGGTCTGTAGCTTGGACCTCCAATTTCATCAGCTGTTCTGCAACCCTTTGTACTGCTTTCTTCTTACTTTCTACGGTCCTGTGAGGGGCAAGGAGATACTTTTTTTCAGGTGGGAACTATAAATGGCTTTTCTTTCTATGGGAATGAAGAACACCCGAACAGACCTGCTAGGTGAGACCAAAGGCTAATCTAGTCCAATATTCTGTTTCCCACAGTGCTCAGCCAGATGCCTCTGGGAAGCCCATAAGCAGGCCATGAACACAAAAGCCCTCTCCCTCAGTTGCTCCACAGTTATTGGTATTTAGAGGCATGTGGTCTCTGATCCTGAAGAAAGGCTGCAGCTATCATGACTAGCAGCCACTGATAGCTTTTTTCCACGACAGGCATGAATTTATTGATTCTCTTTTTAAAGCAGCCTAAAAACTACATACTGTGGTAGCCACTACGCACTGTGTGATAAAGGTTTTTTTCCTGACAAGTAAGGGGAGACATGGTAGAGATATATAAAATTAGGCAGGAGGTAAAGAGGTTTTTTTCTTCCCTTCATATAGTACCATCCCAGTGACAAGGTGAGCCATTTGAACAGAAATCTCATTCTGAGCAAAGTTGGTTTCCCTGAACGCCATGCAGAAGTGTTTGGATACACGCGAGCGTCACAGCAAGGTGACTTACTTTTTAGATTTCTCATCCCTCCGGACCTTGGCATCGGCTTTGGCGCTTTTCAGTTCTCTTTTGGCATCAGCCAGCTGTTCCTTCTTGGCATCAATCTAGGGAAGGCAAAACACAAACAGAAAGCAGGAGATGGAAGGTGTGGAGCTGACAAGCTGCAAACAGCTAGTAGACTTTTGTCTCCATTGGAGTTCTAGATACCAAGACAGCATCTCTATCTAACACACTTCACTGGGTGTCCAACAAGCCTTTTTTTTACCTTGACTAAAGTTTCACAGAAGAGCTGGCTGGGATTTACATTTTCAGATAGGCATGCAAGGATCAAACTTGCAGAAGTGATTACCAGGACTTTAGATACCAAACTTATGGCACCGCACTTTGAAAGGAACACTGATTCACTTACTGTGAGTGGCATAAGAAGATATCCATTTAGAGGGCTGTTTCTATTGATTTGCCCAAAGCAGGGAAAAGTGACTTGAATAATCTCACCCAAGCTCCTCTGTGCAGTTTGATCCATGACTAAGCTTGAAGCAAAGAGTAGATCAGGCAGCCATCATGGCAGACAATTGTGTGTACCAGCCCTGTACCAGCCTAGAAAGCCCATTCATGGTATGTGAGCTATTATTTGTTTCTTAGGTTGTCACGGGAGACAGAGCAACATGGGGAGGCTAGGTGAGATCTAAGTGCAGGTTCTGAAGAAATATAAATGGTCCTCTAAGGTGGAGGCTGAATGTTCTGGAGAACGCTTTTTCTGAAGGAGGCCTTTACAAATGCATACAGCTCTAAACTGTAAAGCCAGGCGAGAATAAATGCAGACAACCATGTTGGTTCAGCAGCATCAATAATGTCAATGTTAGTGGATTCCTGGATGCCCTAGTGGAATTTGCTGTGATCTGCAGAGGAATGGGCAAATTCTGAGTTTCAAAGGCAAAGGGAGAAAAGTATATGAAAGAAATAAGAGTAAACCTGAGCCCAAAGCCAGAGAAGAGAAGGAAATGAGGGGGAAAAGTCATCTTTGGGCAATGGCAGGGACTAAACTGAAGGAGGCACTAGGGTGAGGATAGCCTATACAAATATTCAAGTCACATGTTACACCTGGGAAAATCAGGAGACACAACTCATGGGTGGGGAACCTGTGCTCCTTTAGATGCTGATGGACTCCCAGCTCCCATCAACCCCAGCCAGCATGGCCAAAGTTCAGGCGTGATGGGATGGGGGAGTCGAAGTCCAGCAACATCTGGAGGCCCACAAATCTCCCACCCTGGGCCTAGATGGATGTTTCTCAGGCCAACCAGAGAAGACCCAAGGTTTTATCCAAGAAATACCTGATGTGTCACAAGTCCAACAGTATGCACTGTCAGACTAGAAGCCCTGGCAGGGGGGCCAAGTTTGCTTCTGTTGGCAGGAGAATCCTCTGAGCAGACCCTGCCGAGTTGCAAGTTTATTAGATGGAGGGGGGGGGGAGAACCTAGGGCTCAGGAAAAGTTTGTGGCAAAGATTCACATGTACAATTACACAAAACAGAGCTTGCAACCCTTCATATGAATAATGGAATTCAGGAAACAAAGTGTGAAATACAAATAGTCAATGGGTGACTAGGGAAGAAGTGCATGACACCATATAGATGGAATCCTCCAAATAAAATTCCCATCATCCCCACTGCCTATTTAAAGGTTCAGATGCACTGTGCTACGTCACGTCAGGAAACTTTCTCAGCCCAAGCAATAATGGGTTTGTTCTAAAGCAGAGACAGGGAACCTATGGCTTTGCAGGTGCTCTTGGATGCTAACTCCCATCAGTTCCAGCCTAGCAACATTTGTAGGGCTACAGGTCCCCCATCTCTGCTCTAAAGGAATGAAAAGCAGAAGCTGTATGATCTGCGGCAAACTAAGTAAGATGATCTGAAGCTGAAGGCTCGCAGCTCCATTTGCCTAAGCTGTGACTGACAGACTGTTCAGCTCAGCTAAGAATAATGGGACAGGTGAGTTGAGGGGGGGGGGGAGTGAAGGCAAACAAGTCGTTATCATTCTGTCAAAGCTGTCAGTCCTAACAACTGAAGCAGCCAGGTTAGATATTATGAAAGCCAAAAAGAACACCCCACTGATTAATAAAACAGATTCAGGCTGTAAACCAACCTAACCAAAATGACCTCAGGGTTTTTGTCAGAAATAACCTGAAAAGTAAAAGGGTGGTTTAGACAAGCAAAATATAATCAAATACTTGATATAGGTAGGCTTGCAATTTTGTGGAGGAGGAAGGTGGATAATTTTGTGTTAAACCACACCATTATCCTCAAGCCATGGACATGGAATAGTTATGTTTTGAACTTGCTTTAAGTTCACAAGATAAGGAGAAAGTCATAGCCTTTATAGAAATCTGCACAGAATACTTTAGAAAAATAAGGCCTGAGCCACACAAATAGTTCATCACACGGTAAAATAATTTTTGGATCTGACCACTTCAGACTACAGGTGGGAGAAGAATTGCACGTTCAAGCTTTTCTCCAGGAATGTGGATACAGAAAATGAGCACATCAGAGAAACTACTACGATCGAAACTTTCTGCCTGCCTATTTAATTTTCTAAATGCAAGGAACTTGGAAAAAACATTCACTCAAATGATTTCTCCACCTGTGGGTCTCAAGTGGTACAGTCCAAATACAGCTTTGCCATGTGATTGGCAGTTTGTGCAGACAAGCTGGAAGTCTTCCCTGAGGTCAACTGGTCAAGAAGCTTTCAAATTCAACAATGAAACTTTTCCTCAGCACTGATATTTATGATGCCTCAGATAAACCTCAGGAAAGCGCCCAAGCATATGTATCATTAGCTTAGTCTCTTGTTCTTTAAATCAAGTTATTCCTTTCCCCAAGAGTGTCTAAATACAGGTAGGATCCAGAAAACCAGGAGCAGAATTTTGCTCGCACAAAGGGGCTCTCACACCTTCACCCTTCCTGAACAATCCCGAAAAAACTGTTCCTGGGAGTTGGTGGTCCCTCTCAAGCAGCATGGGAAATGGGCCAGGAGGTTCAGCAGACTGTCCTTATTTGAAAGACATGCTTTCTGGTCATGTAAGGGACTCTCTGGAGTTTGCCCAGTGTCCTGTGAGTAAATCAGGATGGGAAAATGCATCATAACATCAGATAGCTGTCAGGAGCAAAAAAATTATTATGGTACGTTTTGTGACCCCACTAGAGATGCTTTATAGATATTTCTCCTCCAGGACTAAAAGGCAACTTGCCTGATGTGCAATTCAGTCAGAAACAGGAAGGATTTGAAGAATGATTTTCTGTAATAAAATCAAGCAGGTTTGTCTTTCTAAAAATCAGAGAAACAAGCTTCACTAATGAAGTTAGAGGAGAGCTTGACGCAGGTCAACTAAGTAACAGAGGTAGCCAAACTAAGTCTTGGTTTGGGTTTTAACAAAAGGAAGCAGTCAGTTACCTTGCTCTGTAAATTCATCATGGATTTCTCAAAGGTCTTTGGAGGCGCCCTCTGGTGGTTGCAGAGAATAGCAACAGCTCTATTGGCACGGTTATAAGACAGGATCTTTGCTGGGACATTATCATCCGCTAGAAAAGTTTAAAATGAACAAGTGAAATTTGCATTTCTGTATGGAAAAGTCTAGCTCTTTCTTGGATAATTTCACTTTTTCATGGGGAAGAGAAATTAGCAGCTTGGCTCTCAGCCATCTGTACCACCAAGCTTATAATGGGACTGGGGGCTGTAGCTTAATAGTAAATAACAAGTTTTGCATGCAGAAGGTCTGAGGTTCAGCCCTCAGCATCTCTAGTTAAGGATCTCAGGCAACAGAGGGGAGAAATGGAGTTCAGAGGGATGACTGCATACAGAAAGACTTGCTCTTTTGAGGTGAGTCCACAGCTTAGTGGCAGAACATATACTTTTAACAGAATCAGAGAGCAGGAAAGGTTTCTGCCTGAGACCATGGAGTGAGTAATACTGGGGGTAGATGCAAAGCAGATTTCTACATTCCTTATGCAGGCTTGAACACCTTAAAGTGCTATGAAAATGCTAAGGATTACAACTTGTATTCTAGTGTATTCAGTTTAAACTCCAGTATTCAGTATTCAGCTCCAGTATTCAGTTTAAACCCCTTGTATTTCAATAGTTATCCATGGTCTCTGATCTAACCATTATTTGCCTCTTGCATTCCTTCTCTGCAAGCCTGGGCTTGCTGGATTTTAAAAAGGCACACCACCCATTTATATGGACAACACAAACAAAACACCTTTATCAGGCAAAGCCCAGGGTCAAGCCTGCCTTCATTGTGGACAGAACATTATCTGATTAAGGTGCATATTACAGACATCCACTGTGGTGGGAGATGGGTTATAATGGTTTTCTCGGGAACTAGTTAAAGTAAAGAGACCCCTGACCAGTCGTGGCCGACTCTGGGGTTGCGGCGCTCATCTCGCTTTATTGGCCGAGGGAGCCGGCGTACAGCTTCCAGGTCATGTGGCCAGCATGACTAAGCCACTTCTGGCGAACCAGAGCAGTGCACGGAAACGCTGTTTACCTTCCCGCCGGAGTGGTACCTAGTTATCTACTTGCACTTTGACATGATTTCGAACTGCTAGGTTGGCAGGAGCAAGGACCGAGCAACGGGAGCTCACCCTGTCACTGGGATTCAAACTGCTGACCTTCTGATCAGTAAGTCCTAGGCTCTGTGGCTTAACCCACAGCACCACCCACGCCCCTTGTCTAAGGGAACCAAATAAATCTTTGAAGGCTGTTAGAGATTTACCAAGTGTCCTGGCTAGCTGTCTTCTCTCTGGCCTGGCTAATTTAGGGCAGCCTTTGTCAACCTGATGCCATCCAGATGTTCTGTACAGCTTCCTAGAAGTTGTAGTCCAAAACATTTGGAGGGCACCAGGTTTGCAAAGGCAAGTCACAGACACCGTTCCTATTTGAAATGTTTCAATACACCTTTGAAGATCTCTTGGAAACCACAGTTGTTTTAAGAATTCTGTGGTCTCCTTTGACATTCTTCGCCACTTGGCACTGGATGACAAGCTGCCTCTGACCTAATTCAAGGTACTGCTGGGCACATTTCAAATCCAAAATGGACTTGGAAAGGCACAGATTTCAGTTCCTTCCTCTTCAGAAGGTCAGCTAGCCACAACAGCAACTTTGGAACTTTGTTCAATGTGGTTCAAAAATAATTTCCTCTGAACAGAACATGGAACTGTGGAGAAGCCCAAGTCATTTCCAGTCAGTGGCTCTTAAGCCTGCATTTGGATCGATGTTACAATCAACACAGAAACAGAAAAGTATGAGGTGTGCTAATCCAAAAAGTACTTGCCAGTTGTGAGCTCCTTTAGCTGCTGCTGTAGCGTAATGGAGGCATTATATGTTCGAAATACCTTGGCTGTAAGTCCTTCCATAAGGTCTTGAAGATGCTTATTTAAGATGCTAGTCTAAGGGGAAGAAATAAAGGAGGAGGATTAAATTAATTCCAGCATTCATCAGCAGAACACCTCAACCTGTGCACCCTCCTTACTCTCGTAATTTGAGGAGATGGGAAGTGGGAGGATGAACCTTCAGTGGCTGGTAGCCACCATGGATATGTTCTACCTCTGCTGTCCAAGGAAGTATGCCTCTGAATACCAGTTGCTGCGAATCACAAGTGAGAAGGGCTCTGCTGCACTCAGATCCTGCATCTGGGCTTTCCATAGGCATCTGGCAGGTCACTTATGAGCTATATGACAATTCAGCAGAAGGGGCAGATACACTAACAGATGCAACTGGGGAAAATGGTTGTGGGCACGGCATGGAAGCAGATAATATTACTACTACTACTACTACTACTACTACAGCAACAAAAAGGTAGAGTCTGCAGTTAGGGAGGCTGGGGTATTTTGTACAAGAAAGACACATTTCCATTTCATGTGACGCAGATACTCCAACTAAAATTCCAAGAGGGACAAACTCATCTATTCAAGCTAGTCTTAAACCCTTTCCAGATTTTTTTTTTTTTGGGGGGGTGGGGTGGGTGAAAGACCACCTCCAGCCTGTGTGTCAAATTAAGCCCACCAGGTGAGCCAATTTGGTCCACATGGACATCTTTGGCAGGTCACACCTCCTTGACACTCCCCTGATGACACATGCATATCAGAAGAGGCAGCTGCCAAGGAACAACTGGGAGTGCACGTTTTTTGGCAGCTTACCTTCAGCACTGTTTAAATTTGGCACTGCTGACATTGTTGCACTCAGGAGCTCTGGAACAGAACCAGATCCCTGCTGCTTTCCGAAAGGCATGGATCCACCCAACGCTATATGATGTCAGGCATTTAACGTGTGGTGAATCTTTTGGATTCCACCTCTTTCTCCAACTCTTACGTAGGGACTTATGAATGCTTGGTAGGTGGGGAGATCATGGGAAACTGTTTCTGCTTCCATCTATATGCATTCAGAGCAGGCATCCCCAAACTTGGCCCTCCAGCTGTTTTGGGACTACAACTCCCATCACCCCTGACCACCGGTCCTGTTAGCTAGGGATGATGGGAGTTGTAGTCCCAAAACAGCTGGAGGGCCGAGTTTGGGGGTGCCTGCATTAGAGTGTTCTCTTCAGATGCATGTAGATCAGAAGTGGAGTCTGTCCCGTCCCGTCCCGTCCCCCCGCCAGCCCCACCAGTATACTCAGTGTCCCCAGAATAAATGCCTGAAAGCGGATTTAGTGAACTGGTAAGCTGGTAATAACAACCCTGAACCTCTTTGGACTACAGCCAGTTTCCCATCATCTCTGACCATAGAGCCATGGCTAGCTGGGGCTGATAGGGAGTGGAAGCCCAAAATCCCCGATGGTAAACAATGAGCTTGTGTTACACATTTTTATGTGTTTTCAATCTTTACAGGGACCCTATAACAAAAAGTTCTCAGGGCAGCTTATAGGATAAACGAAAGAGGAATGCAATCAATTGTGATGCAACACTAAAACCAAACCCCAAATTAAAATAGAGAACAGAAACAAGCCGCAGTATTGTATCACACATCCTTCTCTCAAACTGCTGCTACATTACAGTGTCTACGAGGGCAGATTTCAGTTCCATGAACTCTTCTGATAAATACAAAACTGCCTGCACCATAAGCAGCCTGTTAAAAATTGCACCCTTTTCCAAGCCAGTTGTAAAGGGAACCATAATCACAGCAAGAATTCCAATTAAAAAATCCAGCAAGGTTATCATTTATGATTAACTCTCAAGTACCAGGTATGGAAGGCACTCACATTAAGTCTATCAAAGAGGTCATCTTCAGGCTGTTTGTTTTCCATGAACAACTGAAGATTCTTAAAAACCTACAAGGCAAACGGATGGGAGAGAAGAAGACCATTACAGCATGAAAAAAAGAAACTGGATGGACATCATTCCAACTTGATGGCGGTATAACGTGCCCCTCACTAATTCACATGTCCATGCTTCCATGTACACAATGCTGAAGGAACACTGTTCTCTACTGGCCTACAGGAAGTGTGTTGGTGGATCCTGCAAACAAGGAATAGGAGTACGTAGACCACTATTCATCAGGGGGGGGGGGGGAAGAAGCAACAAATATTTTCCTGAATGAAGAGGTATATTAAAGAACTGGGGTGCCTTCCCAATAAGAATAGGCTAAAAGCACTAAGGTAGAGATGATTTTGGGGGGCGGGGAGAGCTACACAACTTTATAAAAACAATTAACACTATGGAGACATGAAGAAAAAGAAAATTAAAGAAGGATCCATTAACCATGAAGGTTAAATGGAACCTCCTTGTTAGATGCAGTTGGTAAGAGCTTGAGACTCTTAATCTCAGGGTTGTGGGTCTTTGGGCAAAACAATTCCTGCATTGCAGGGGGTTGGACTAGATGACCCTTGTGGTCCCATCCAAATCTACATTTCTATGACTCCAAGATGTGAAATATTTATGTCCAGATGGACACTGTACTTACTCAAGGTGAGATCTGAAAGACTCACCAGAAGAAAGACAATTCAGTAAGAAGACTTCTCAGACTCCCTTTCATTAAATGTTAAGTGCACAAGAAAAAATTCTTACCCTTTTCTCAACGGGGACTTTGTTGTAGTATCGTATGGAATCCTTTCCAAGGAAGTCAAATTCTACCACGTATTCCTGGCCATCCAACTCCGGATGCAAATTAATATGTTCTACACGGAGGGAGCAGCAGCCCACTGTGTCAGCCGTCTCCCCTTCCTCTTTCTCATTACCAGCTCTCAGAGCAAGCTGCAAATATGAAACAATGAAAGAGAGCAGAGAGATGTCACAAATAGCATTCAAAACAGGAGGCATTTTTAACCCCATTGGTTCGCCAGTGAGAAGCTGCTTCAGGATTCCTTGTGCTAAGAAGCTATCAGTTTAAACTCCAGAGCTGAGATTATAGCATTTGTAAATGCAACTGAAAGAATACACTAGGCTTGGTCCCATGTTATCTATTTGCTTAGGTGACTGGGGGCCTGTCTGTGTGCCGTCCACATGCCTTACTGAGCTAACACGGGGCAGTGCTTATGGGTAAGTGCCAATTTTACCACTGATGTTGCAGCAAAATTCTATTTATCATCATTTGATTCCAGAATAGATCTACTCACTTTAGCTGCCACCTCTTAACAGCATTGCAAAAAGTAAATTGTGTGTGCATGTATGTACATATGCAGAGGTGTCCCGAGGAAAGTGGGCAGAATTTTACCCGTACTCATTCAGCTCATAGTTAAGCAATCACAAAAAGCAGTGCATTTGCCAAGGAAAGCTTCCCATCTCTGCTTTAGAAATATTTCTGGAATATTCAATTCCATTGGCACCTACTTCAAACATCTCTCCAGCACATTTAGTACCGTTGTGCTTAGAAGCTTATCAGTTTCAAACCAATGCTTCAACAAGTCTAGGCCGAGGAGCCCTGCCTAGGCAATAAAAAAGGAAGGAACTGGAAAAGTGACAGATTCTCACTTTGTCAATGAAATACAGCGCAACTGCCCTCTGCCGCACTTTCATCTCTTTGGACTTCCAGTCTTCTCGATAATTATTTCGAATCTTATCTACACATTTCTTCAGTCTCCGAGCAGTCTCATATTTCTGCCAGTCCTTCTCACCCTGCAGAGGCAATCACAAGGAACAACATGATGACCTGCTCCAAAGCATAGAAGCTCCAGTTTGGAGATGGAGCATATTTTAAGAATACTTTTCCAAGATTCCCACTGTACAGACATTATTCGACTTGAACATCATTGCCTATTTCAGAAGTGCCTAAGGGGTTAAGAAGTTTTAAAGACCCACTAAGCTGGTAGCAGAGTCGCAAAAAAGTAATGAAGTACTCTTTGGATCTTCCATTTAATGACACATTGATTCCTTAGGAACGGTCAGTAGTTCAGTAGTCCCTGGTTCAATTTCCAGCATCTCCAGGAAGGGCTGGGAAAGACTCCCGTCTGAAATCCTGGAGAGCTGCTTGCAGTCAGTGTAGATGCTGCCGAACTAGATGGAGCAGTACAGGGAAGATTCCTATGATACAGAGCATTGGGCATGTCAGAAGTAGCTTGCAAGTTTTCAGACAAACTATCACCTTGATTCTAGAACTGGGATTCAACATGATGTACTTAATAGATCCTTGGATGTTCTCTGTCCATGACACCAACCAGGTCACCTTGTTATCATGCCGGACTTCTTTCCATTTATGTCCAGGGGGAGGGGGAGGAACTTTTGAATCTCTGTACAAGGGTGGGAAAAAACAAACAAAAAACAAGAACACAATAATGATTTCAAAACTGAAAAGACTACAAACTGTGAATAACAGCAAAATACAACCAGGAAATAATTTATTCAGTTTAATTCATTGTATTCGAAGCTGGCACCATTAATTGAAAGTCACAATACGAACTGTCTAGATTCGCCAGATATTTATAGGCCTCAAGCCTGGCAATCAGAAAAACCAAGTGTGTAAATGTTTGCATCAATATATCTGCTTTAAGATTCTTAAAGGTTTTAAAGCAAACAAGGCCTATGCTATTCTTACAAATAAAAACAACAATTTTAAGCTTATTGGCATGTTAAAAACTACTATGCAATTTAGACACTGTAATGTTTTGAAACAGCCCTGTTGAGGTATGTTAAGAAGCCTTTCCCTCTGCAACCTTTACCCTGCCCTCACGCTTCTACAAATCACTTTTGCAGAAATACTAAACTGCCTAAGCAGCTGAAATCTTACCTCACTCCATCAGCTCTCACTATCCAGTCCCGCCTTCCCCAAACCTTGCTTACTGAATATAATACTTTGCTCCTTAGGCCAGTGTTCCCCAACCTTGGGCCTCCAGCTGTTTTTGGACTACAACTCCCATCATACCTCGCTAGCAAGACCAGTGGTCAAGGATGATGGGAATTGTAGTCCAAAAACAGCTGGAGGCCCAAGGTTGGGGAACACTGCCTTAGGCAGACCAGGCTATCAATATTCTAAGGTCTTCTGAAACTGGGCAAATTGCTCTTTTGCCTTAAAATATAAGCTACCATGTCCTGAACTGCAGATTTTTTTCAACAGGTCTGACATGGTAAACATTGGGTAAGAGAGATCACATGTTATTACAGTATACCAGGGACCAAGTTGTGATGGGGTTATACCCTCCACAATCTATTAAAGTTAAAGAGATACGATGGAGTCTGTGAGCTAGGAAACTGGTCTGAAGTGATATAAGGTGAGTGATTTCTTAAAGCTAACCAAGTCTTAGGCTGAACAGTAGAATGCCTGTTTGTCTCAAAGTAAGCTACTTTGAGCTTTCCGAAGGAAAAAGAAGGGTGGAAATGCAACCACCACCACCCACTAATATTTAAAAATTAATAAATAGATACAAACATTTGAGTTTTGCCAGTTCACAATACCTTTTTTTAAAGAAACAAACTAATGATTTGACAGTTGTTTGTGAACTACGGTGAAAAGTTCACAAGTGAAACTTTACGTGGTATGTACTGGACTTCAACTCTTGGGCTGCACTTATGTTAAAGGAGAGACCCTACAAAGTAACAACAGATTCTACTTGGCAGAGAGGTTATCCGGAGTGAAAAGCCTGAACGCAGCTGCTACGCATTATAACCAAAAGTCACTCCTAGCTAGTGTGTGAAATCTTCCATGCTCACTTGCTACAATTGATGATGATGTCTTCTGGCATTATCCGCCTCTTCAGCATGCCCATTTTGGGATGGTTTCCACGCCCTCTGAAGAGACCCGGAGGCTCAATCTTAAAGTTGGCAATTCTTTCCTTATGGTTATCCATGATACAATAGCCATATTCTTTTAATAACCGCTCGTTCTCCTCTTTAATTTTCTAGGGGAAAACAAAACACCCACAAAAAAGGAAAATTACAACACACTCCAAACCACACTATAAATTATTCAGAACCAGAGTTACAAGAAATTCATTAGCTCCATCCAGGTTGTGCTGTAGGAGGCATTTTATAAGTACAGCAAAGCACAGTGAAGGAAAGAGGTTGTGATTTTGAGAGTGTTAATAGTCACAGGCCTACTCAACACAGTTTAGAAACAACTTGAAATATCCCCAGCATTTCAACATCCCATCCTTCCACCATGACTAGCCCATCTCAACCACACTTCTCATTTATCTGAAGTCTTATCTCTGGGCCAGCCTTTAATCCCTTCCTTAATTCACCATTTAGCACCCATCATATTAGATTGTACCCTTTGTTTGCACCTTGAAACAACAACAACAAATTCTAAATCAAGTTACCTGTTTTTCCTCCTTGGTCATCTGTTTTCTGGCTTCTGACTGGGCTTTGAAATACTGACTCATATGGTTAAAGTCACACTTGCTGAGGCTGGTGATGGTACTCTTTTCTTCATGGGTCATTTCCTGCAAAAAAGAAATCTGAATCTGTAAAACGCTTAAAAAGGAAACTGCACTGCACCTTGTTTTCAGTAAAGTCAGTTTGGATGCTGCTATCATATATAAGATCAGTGAAGTTACAGCAAGAGCTATAAACCTGTAAAAGGCCAAATGCAGAATGGAAGAACATCATGGTTTCATCTTTGAGAGTTATTAACATCTAATTAAGAAAGAAGGCATCCTTCATCAAACCATACTCAAATGCTGAGAGATGAAACCTTATCAACATTCTACACCAAAGAAGCCTCTGAAGTCAGGGACTGTATGTCAAGTATATTCCTATAATTTCATGTTATTTCCAAGGGAGCTTGAAAACCTGATTTTAAACTCCTTTCAGGGACAGAATGGGGAGCGCAGAACTGAATGGAGAGAGGGAGGCAAGGAAGAATTCCAGATTGCTGTACAGAGTCACACGCCTGGACTCGGGAAGCCCTTCTTAGCTTTCCTCTAATTATTAAATTTTTCGCCAGGCATTGCCCAGGATGGATTTGATATTCAAGCTTTTTTAAAGAATGCTAAGACTCTCAGGGTGCCAAATATTGCACTTGAACAATGCTCCTGCAGGCATTGTTTATTACAGAAGTATCCCTGTCTCCCAGGAGTCCAGAGTGAAATATAGGAAGCTCGCTCAGTTTATGTGAACAATGCTGTGAGGTATCTAGGCTGAGAAATGATTTCCTCCAAGCAGCTAAAGGCAGAATATGGTACTTCTCTCCAACCATTTCATCTTCACAACAACAGTGAAAGATGGTTGAAAAACTGGTCCAATGTCATCCAATGATACTACACTAGCTAGTATACATTATTTTGATCATACTTGTTCCATGTTACATGAACAGAAGAGAACGCAGCCAGCCTGCCAATCCTGGGTCACCTGTGACAGCCTATTTAATACACTTCATCACTTGGCAGATTGATTCTAGTCAGGAAAGCTTTTAATAAAAGGTTCCTGGTCCACAGAGTTTAAGTAGAGCGTGCCTGTGAAACACAGACACATTTCACCATTTCAGACAGTTTGTGGCCATTCTAGGACAGTGCTTCACACAAAGTAAAAAAATAGTAATAATTAAACCATTTCAACTTAACCATAATATTAGGCAGCACTGCTATCACCAGGCAAAAGGAGCTGTCTCTTCTTCGCATGGCTGACAGCTCTTGTAGTTCCCAACTTTAGGATACAGGTACAACAATGGATACCAGACAAGATGCCTCTAGTCTAAGGCATTATTTAAGCTCCAACTGCTTAAATCTTGGCAACCATGAGCATACACAAGCATAATATAATTTAACTTGCAAAATATATTTATTTAAAAACCTCATTTACTTACTAGACAACATTGACTACAAACTGGGGGGCACAAAATTTCTTTGAATAAGCAATTTTTCTGTGAATTCTAAATACCCCAAAATACAAAAGCCAAATGTAAACCTCACTCATGAACAAATCAACCCTCCTGCTTAAACACTACAAGGAAATTCTCTATTTGCCAAATGGAGGAGGGTTGACTTCACGTCTCTGGCTTAGATTTCCTCTCGACTCTCCTCCTGCCCCCTTATAGCACAAGTAGGAATCTGCTTTCTTCACTTCTTTCTCTTATTCTCCTTCCTGTTGTGGAGTTTCTCTCTTTTCTCAGCCAAACAAAATGTAGCAAATCTGTTCTATTCCTCCCCAGAACATTTCATATTCTCTCTTACTCACTCACTCAAAGTTGCACATGCAGTAACAGTGACTGGCTGTTGGGAAACGCCGAAGGCAAACAGAAGCAAATTTCCTGTCCTTCCTCAAGCACAGAACCCCAAGTGTTCAATGAGGAAGCAAAGAAGGAATGAGCCATCTGCAACTACCTTAAAAGCAACAATTTAGCAGGTGTCCAGGCAAGTGGCAAACTGCATGCCTACTTTAGCTACCTAAGAAACCAAATACTCCCACCCTTCCATAACCTTGACCATACCTTTCTCCAGTCTTTGAAGAAGTTTTTCCTGAAGATGTCCTTTGTAGTGTATTCGTGATCAAGCATTTTTGCAAAGAACGTTGCTACTTCTTCTGCTTTGGGACTGAGCTTCATAACTTTACCTACAACAGAGAAGGCAATCCATGAGGAAACAGGAAAAAACGAGGTGGCATCCTACCGACGCTCAACCCCTCAACCAGCCTACTCCTCTTACCTCAGAGAGAAGGGATCCAGGAACATCCCTCCCCAGCGTTGGCCCTCTGTGAATATACAATGCACAGCCAAAATAATGACCCTGCAAACAAGTTATTGAACATCCTTGTGTTTCAGGGGAAGCCAGGGGTCAGGAGGAGGAGGGCTGTAACCAAAGTCACACACTGGGCTTCAAATTTTACTATGGGCAGTACAATTTTACTTTACATTCACTAACCTACCCAGCAACTTTACATCAGTTAGCATGAAAATAGTGTTGGGTCTGATTCTAAGTTTTTCAGAAGCAAATGAAGTCAGGTTCTCCAATTTTGGGTTTCTGTTTCGCTTTCAAAGAGGGAGAGCACAGGAATTTTTGCACCTTTAAAAAGGGAGACTCTGGAACCGTGTTAATATGTGAAATGGCCAACATACAAACAAGGAGAGGAGGAATTAGCTCCCAAAACAACCAAAGGATGAGGCCAACAGTAGAAAGAGCACACTGAAGAGGCCAAGGCTAAGTTAAGAAACCCAGCCATCTCAGACCACAAGCAGAGCCAGACTGGAAGGAGGGAAAATTTCTCCTGGAGAGGTGAAAGGCCTTGAAGACGCTGCCTGTCTAATCCAGTAGGGGGAGCTATTCCACTCAGGAATGTGCTCCAGCTCTGTCCTTAGGAAGAAGTGCAATCTCCAACGAAGCATGGCATTAATGTTTTGAATTTATCCATTGAGTTCTATTAGCTCTCACTTCCTTCTCTGGGGATACTTAAAAAAACAAAACACCTTTCTTTTTATTTCTCTGAGTCTTTTCTACCATCCTCTTTACCCAGTCACACCATCCCATTCCCACTCAACTGTCAGTCTGCAGGCATTGAGGACATTCAGGGTTTGTTTGGTATTTTTGGAGAGGGGTGGAGTTATTCCTTCTTAGTTCCTCTGCCCATGTCTTCTTGCACTTCTGCAAACCTCAACGGTACCCCGAGTTTGCTAACAACATCCTCCTGTGTGTGGCTTTCACTATTTCCAGATAATTTGCAACAGCATTCAGATAACTGATTTGGAATTAGAATGCAGGATGAGGGAATCTCTTAACTTCCCCTGTGGATGTACAGTGAGACTCTTCTCTGACTACAGTGAGTTCAATCCTATTAGTCTACAAGAGGTGAAGCAATCAAAGGATTCCCATGCATCATAGTAGTTCAGCTGTATGCTCCCACATAACAACATTGGCTTGCCATTAGTCCTAGTGGGGCCGACCCCATTATATGCATGAAGCAAGGGATAAAGGCATCCGGCTCTCATCTCATAGCTGACATGCCCATGATCAGACTGTCTTCCTCTTTATCCTGTTCTTGAGGATCATGTAACTGGCACAAGGGTCCTCCATATTGGGCTGATTTTGTGCTGTGTGAGAGGACACTGGTATTTCTAACTCCACTGGCTTAAAAAGTTGTTGTTAAAAGGCTGCCTGCTTGATATACCAGTGATTCGTGACTGTCCTCTTTCCCCTTGACTGAAGAATTGTAATAGAGGCTCAGCATGAAATAACTAGCTGCGCAGAAAGGCAGATTCTTCCCACAGCTCAAGGGGGAAGCAATTGCTGCATCAATGCGCTGCAGACCCAACATCTCCCCCTTTCTAACCAATGTGACTAATGTAGGCCCAGACAGTGTTAACGTCACACCAGTCTTCAGTGCACCCAGAGAAGGTGCTTGCCAGCATTCCACAGCAATACCAAACAGGAACAAATATCTCACTTGCCAGCAGCCTAAAGAGTTGGCATCGTTTCAGAATAATGGATTCCTGTGAAATCCAATCCAGCCACTACTTGTACTGGTATAGTTAAGGCAGACAGAGAAGGCAATATGGAGTCTTCATGATGCATAGGGTGTGCCGAGGGTGGGGGGGGGAGAGGAATTTTCCATCTAGCTTGAAGGAAGCAAACTATAGAAAAGTACTACAGAAAACTGCTAAGAAGAGTACTTCTGAATGTTGTAAAAGATTTATGGCCATCTGATCTATTTTGTAACATCTATTTTGGAAGATTAGGAACATAGGAATGATGTTCACTTGACATTTTGTGCTCTGATAGGGATATCAAACTCACAAAGGTTTGTCCTTTCAATTACTCAGAAGCACAATCAAGAAAGGGACTGGGTCCCTGCTTCTATCTATCTTTGAGCCTATCTATCTTTGAGCACGAAGGAGGTAGAAAGTGGAGAATGAAGTGTACAGTCCAATGCCTATGGTCTCATAATGCTAAAACAAGGTTTAACGTAATTTCTGAATGAGACCAGTAACTACATCAAGTGTTCATGTGCTATTAAGACAGTTTCTAGGATGATTTGGTAGGGAGACTGAATATAAACCATTTGGGGATTTTATACATTAGTGGCAGCTTGGTCAAACTGCATTCAACTGATTTCACTGTGATAGGGCCAGAGGTGTTTATTCCCCTGAAAATATAAATATCAAGTTAATTTAAATTGCTCACAAACTTGCTTGGGGAGATTACTTGGGCATAGATGCCATAAGCTTTCAACTAACTCATATGGGCCAATTAATCCTTCTGACATTTCATATTTTAAAGGAACTTGAAAATGTAGTTTATAATGATGGCAGCAATCTCTGGAGCCAGCATAAATAGTCATGTCAACCTCCTTTTCAGTGAATTTAATCTCTCAGACACTGGAAAGGTTCCAACAGTCATTACAGATGAGTCAGAACCAGGAAATTCAACAGGGATAGGGTGGGAAGAAGATATGGATAATCTCTGAATTGACCTTTGGTCATTGGGCAGGGACAGTATGTTAAGTGGCAATACCTTGCTCTGGAAGCAAAGGACCCTCAACCAGCTTTAGCAATACAGAACTAGAAGTGGCCCTCAATGAGAACATGCCTTGCATTCTAACTGGAAAGATGCATGTAGGCAATGAATGCACATCAGCTGCATATGAGGAATTCCACTGCCAAAAACAACGTTACTGGGTCAGACTTGAGAAATAAAACCACTTTAAAGGAAAGTATTATTACCAGACAGCACTCACTGTCATTAAAAAAAATGAAAGGGGAAAAATCATTATCTCTGAACAACTTTTTCTGTGAGAACCCACCACTGAAATACATTCCACTTTCTCAAAACAAACCTCATTTAATATGACTGGATACTTCACAAGTGTCTTCCTATGCAATTATGTATCTTTCCTTCCTGCTACTAATGCTTTAACATTTCTAAATGACACTGTATTCACAGCTATGGAAATGATCCAGCACTTCTGTGCAGACATCAGGGAGCACAAGGGAACACTGTATCCTGTCTCTGCACCAGTCACAATTCACTGTCCACACAGGGGGACAAGAGGGTTAAGGATTGTCACAGCCTTGAATGGAGGAGGAGGAGGAAAGGGAGATGGACAGACCTGTACTCAGCAGACTCCAGAATCCAGTACTGGTTGCATGGTTGTGCAGATGAAATTCCAACCACCTCCAGAGAATATATAAACCATCAGCCACATTTTACCAGCATGGGATGACCCTCCCTACAAGGTCTCCCAGTATAGCTTTTTCTGCCTTATGAATGCTCATTATAAAGACACCTATTTATCCACCAAACACCAGCCTTTAGTAGCTTACCATCATAGTAGAATTTGACATTTTCAGGCACAGGTTCATACGGTGGTGCAAACACAGGGCCTTTGTGTTCCAAGAATTTCCACTTAATACCTTCAGGATAGCGCTCTTCCTCCCACCTTTAAAAAAAAGGGGTGGGGGGTGGGAGAGAGAAACATGTGCTCATTCAAATGCCATATGGATTCAGAATCTACAAATGGGGCATCATGAATGCTAAAATTAGTCAATTCAGCAAATTCAACAATCCATCCTTTCATTTACTCCATTTACTTCTTTCATTTTTATAATGCCTTTCTGCCAAGACACTCAATATAATTTAGCATATTAGAACAGGAAATGGTACAAAATATTATCAGCTTCCTTGCCTCTGACTTCCCTGAGAGGATATAGGTCTTTCTTAAGAAGCCCCAGGAAAGGCTGGGGTGGGGCTGCCCCAACAGTTCTCTTAGGACTTGGGTGGTTATATTCTTCCTCACCTGGGCTTCCTCGTTTCCACCTTCCCTCAGGGCACATGGGTTTTGTTTTGTTTCATTTATTCACACAAAACTTCTACTATATTTTAATCTAGAAAGCCAACCCGTTGTGCTACACACATTACCCATGTCTGCATTTATCAGCCAGCACTTTCTGACTGCCTCACAAGCAAGACAATATATTCCAGCCTTCTTCACAAAGAAGCTAGCATTGTTTTTATGTCAGTTTAGATGCATGTCTTACTTGTATACACCACTTGGGGTGTTAGTAAAAGCAACAAGGAGAAGAAATCCCCAGAGTAACCTGCACTAGGGTCAGTGACCTCTCCTGTGGTCAGCAGAGGGAAATGATGATTAATGTTGCTTGAGGAACAGAAATGGCACAGCCAAACTCATCCCCACTTAGAAGTCTGTTGGGTTGTACTGGCAGCAGGGGATGACACTTTTCTGCAATAACACTAAATCCAAACCTGAAAGGCTCAAATTCTCAGGAACTTGTCATGTCTCTACAGAAAAACCTGAAATAGGCATTTCCGGTACAGGGATTCACAACGTATCACCAGTGAGCCATATCTTTCTTCCTAGATTCACTCAGCAACTGACTTATGTGTTTAGTCTATCTGTATTTCAAGCGGCAGAACTGAAGGTCACATAATATCTTACAGCAGAAGCAGGCACTGGGTAAAGGGTGGGTAGATGCTATTTTTAAAAAGTTTTGTTTTCATTGTGTGTAGAAACATACAGAGAGCAGAGATACTCCTCAACGTTTTTCTATGGTGTATACCAGGCAGGAAGGGAGAGAGGAGGGGAGAGGACCTTTTAGCTTCCACTTTATTACTGTGTGGAAAGAGCTCTTAGCAACAGTTTTTAAGGTGTCCTGCAGCTATCACACACTGTGTGAAGTAGCTCCAAAAGAAATAGTGGTTGGATGGGGATACAGAAAGATCCTAAAAGATAAAAAGAAACATTGGAAGCAGTCCAAAGTATCATAAATTACCTCCATGCTAGTTTCACCAGCTCTACCACTTGGAAAGAGTTGCTATGACTTAGACCTTAGCCATTTTCACCCCTGGCTATGTGGGAATACAGAGAGACTTTATCTACCACTACAACTAGTGCTGAGAATAATAGCTTGATTCCTCATATTACTTATCTGATAGAAGGTTGGCATTACTCCTCTAAAATCTGATAGAAGGTTGGCATTACTCCTCTAAAACCCTAAACTCTAAAACCCAACCAAACAGGTTCCTTTTAAAACAACTGGCATCTCTCCACCCCCTCAATACCCCCTGGTCTTTCACTCTGTCAGATCCGCTTGAAGTGGGGGGGGGCATCACCAGCTGAATTACATGCAAATTTCTGGGAGTTAATTGGGCAACGTGGGCTAACAGTTTTCATTTGAAAGCAGGATCACTTCAAAAGTGTGGCTGCTGTGCTCCACAGGGCACAAGGGTGGGAGTGGGCAATGGTAAGAACCAGCAAGAAAGCATGGATGAAGAACTCTACATTAAGCTTGAGATATCTGCTTGGCCATGTGTTTGTTTTTCCCCTAGAACACTTGACGTTTATCAGCTGGTGTTAGGCTGCAAAACAGTGGTGGGGAGACATAGCAGTAATGGCCAATCGTGGCTCCCTGACACGTGCACATATTACAATACATTTTTTAAAAAACTATTCCTTACATTTGTATTTTAAATTTTTAAGTACAGAAAAGTAAAGACAGAGTGCCCTGCATTGTAATGGGCATTGTGTTTCACGATGAAACACAGAAACAAGAAGCATAAAGCAAAGGAAAATTAGCAAAGGAAAAACCACAAGCTCTTCCTCAGAACTATTTTCTATTGAAACTGCCAACAAATTCTCAATGAAAACGATCCTCGGGTTTTGAAGCCATAAAGTATGTTTAAATATCTGCTGGAATGTTTTCACTTAATCAGTTTGTTGACACAGCCTCTCTCCAAGGAGTGTATCTCGAAACACTGGGAGTTGGTTAGCCAAAAGTACAGAACTAAAGAACAAACACCAAAAAGTTATTCAAAACACACTGCTGCATAAAGTGGATTGCAACGCGATACACCATTACGAGACTGTTAGCACTGTGTCCATTTTAAGCAAAATTCAGGATCAAATCAGCCTTGATCCAGAAAACCGTGGAGGGATGCCATGCATGGAGTAAGGCCTTGAATTTTCAATCTTAGACAGTTGCTTTCACAGGCTTCTTTTAAAAGTCCTTGTGGTATCAGGTAGGCTAATGCTCAGGAATGTTAGTTAAAAAAGAAAAAAGAAAAGAAAAAGACTAGCTTTACATCGCTGCATATGCCTAAAAAGGTTGGTTTAGTTTGTGGACTGCAGCCTGTAAGGGTTAACGTTTTGAAGGAAGGCTAAGCAGCATGTTTGTAACACAAAAGCAAGAGTCATGAAGTTTTATAAAGAGTGATTCTCTTGCAAAAGGCATACTAGTTTGGAAAGTAAGAAAATAAGCAGAACTACAAAAAGTATTATTATGGTTCAAAGGAGGTAAGCTTTCAACTGTTAGATACGTCAAGTAAAGCTTCAGTGGATTAATTAGTAGAGTCCAACTTTAAAATTAGGTGCCAAGCTATTTTTTGCGGGGCTGGGAAATAGGAATGTTTCAAAAACCTTCCTTGGAAGTTTTTAAGCAGAAGTTGGATGGCCATCTGTCATGGATGCTTTAGTTGAGATTCCTGCCTTGCAAGGAGTTCAACAAAATGACCCTCAAGGCCCTTTCCAATTCTAAGATTCTATGATTTCACTTGTTCTAAAATGATGCAGCAGTGTTTTCTATTCCTTGATAAAAAGGTGTAGACTGAGGGGGTCCACTTGCTAGTATAATTCAAGGGACCACTGGTCTGGCTACCTCAGCAACAGGGACACGCTCCCTTAGTCTAAGCAACTGCTAACTGGAAGAACAAAATGAAGATAAGAGCCCTGCTAGATCAGATTAAAAGCACCAGCCTGTTCCAGTCTATGGGAAACCTACAAGCAGAACCAGATTGCAGCAACAGTTCACACTTGTGATTCCCAGCAACTGGTATAAATGAGACAGGGCTAATAGTCCTTGATAGACTGATGCTCTGTGAACAATAGCATTATGAATAATGAACAGTGGCTGTGAGCGGGTGTTTAAAAAATGTACTTAAGTGAAGGGTAGAGGGCTTTTTGAACGAACATTTTCACTGCTCCTGACTGGCAATTTTTGCTGAGCAAATATAACTTTATGAAATCAGCAAAGTGCTAGTTGTAAACTTCGATTATTTTTTGTGATACTTTTGCTGCTAGTGAAATTGATATTAACAGAAAACAAAAAACTACCGTTAAATGTTCCATCTAATAACAGATAGACATGCCACCTAATAATAAGAGAAACAAATGTTATGACTTCAGTACCTCAGGACTTCTAATAAAATGGATATTAAATTTTTGTTCCAATGATAAATCAATTGGTTGAAAGCCAATTATTAACCTAACAAATCCTTAACTAGCTGAGAGCTCAAACTGGGGTTTTCCTTTTCCCTCTAAAATGGAAGATAATCCTGTTTGCAGCTTTGAAGTCCAACCACAGAGAGTTTTCAGTCAGCATTTTTTCAGATGTAAGAGGAAGCAGCCAGCCACAGGCTGAAATATCAGAGGTGTGTTACCATTTCCATTTCTGCTCCTCTTCTTTTTTTGTTTTCTTCTTCTTCATGTCTCCTTCAGGAGGCTTCTTATCTTTGCTCTTTATTTTCTTGGGTTTGATATCCTGAAAAGAGATTTTTTTAAAGAGAGAGACGCTATACAGGGAGTAGTTTTACAAGATACTCTTACATTTAAAAACAAATAAATTTTGTAAGAAACCATTTGAAATGTGCTTCTCACAAAAATGGCCCTTGGTCTGAATCAAACTACTTATTCAGTTTCCTACCGGTGGCAAGGAATTATCATCAATTAACATGCAGAGTGTATCATGGTATGACATAAATAAATTGGCAAAGCCATATACAGGAGGCAGAGAGAAGTGAAAGGGCATTATGTAGAGAAAAAAAGGAGATGAGGACCACTTAGCCTAAGGATGGAGGATGAGTTGCAACTTTGTGGTGAGCAGAGCCCAGCCACCAGTATGCTCTCTGCATGAATCTAGCCAAAAATCAGGATCTCTACATACTGATCTTAACATGTACTCTAGATCGAGACATCATGGGTTTTTTGGGTTATTGTTTTCAGATGAATGCTAAATTGGATATTCTAAGCAAAATAAAGTGTTCTTTCTCCAGTTGTCTCCACAACCTGTTATTACCCCAGAGATCCAGAAAATATAAATTCAACCAAACCTCCTCTTCTTCCTGTTTCCGCTTCTTTGATTTTTTTATATCTTCAGTTTTGATCTTCTTGGGTTTGTAGTCGACACTGAAACAGATCCAACAATTGTAAACAAATCATTTATTTCCAGTCCCGGATTTTATTACTCTCACCCTCCACACACAAATGTTGCCGCTGTGCTGCTTATAGCCTGTATTCCAAAAGCACCAACACCCCAACTCTTGTGGCTCAGATGAAACCTGCTGCTTGACTTTAAGTTATACGTTTCCTGAAGCCCCTTCCGTAAGAACAGACACAACTACTTTCCAGCGTCTGTAGACAAATGCCAGTTCTCTACCTGTGCTGCGCACACACTGACAATATATACATAGCTGTTGCAGAATACAATCAAGAAATAAAATCTGCTATTTTTGTATTTGTTAACGCAAGCTGTTGCCCCTCATTTGCACTGATCACTTTTCTTCTCTTTGCTGTTGCAGGACTGGGGGAGGGGGGAGTTTAAAACCCCTCTGCAGCAGAAAGGGGTTACACTAGTAGGAGGATTGATACTGGCCCTGACCCAGTGTGAATCCCAGGCACCTAGTGGTCCCAGATGGAGTAGCAGGATCCAGATGAGCACTGTGATACACACATCAGGTCCACAGTTGCTTCTATATTAACATCTCCCTTGCAGGATCAAGGCAATTCACTATAGAAGACAGCTGGGGTTCACAAAGTATTATTAACACTCACTATTCATTTGGTCCTTAACATTTTGTCTTACTCATTATTCTTTTGTTTTATAAAAGCATTTGTCAGCTACCTTTCAAAAGATCAAGGCCGCTTACATAAAATGAAAAACAAACAAAAAACTGCGCTATTAGAAAAAAAAGTAAACCCCCCAGAATGTGGTCCTCCCTCAAGGGTAATTAAAAGCATTCACTTTTCACTGAGTGGCATGATGATGTCTGAATGACAACTGATATCTGGAATGGGCAAAAGAACTTAAGCCCTTAAATCCATTGATTTCAATGGGTCTACTCTGAGTTATGACTTAGCAAGTTACTATAGTTGCTTCCTATAGACAGATCCAAATGTTCCATTATTCCCACTTTTCACTGTAGGTAATGTTCACAAGCTACTCACTCATCATCCTCTCGGGGTCTCTTTAGCGGCTTATAGTCTTCTTTGTAGTAGCCATCGTCATCCATTTCTTCCTTAATACGAGGTGGGCTAGAGAGAAAAGGAAATGAGTTATTTAGTCAAGAACATGACTACTAAGCTTCGGCTTATAGCCTGACTTCACCTACCACTTCAACCCACACGAGGAGAACTCTCTCATTATCCCTGCCATATTTAGAGTTGAACAGGATGTGTAACTTTCATATAGTTTCAGCTAAACTGAAAATGTAACACCATATTGCAGGGCTGGTGGGGTTCTGCCCCACCAAACCCCTCCAGATATTGGTGTCAGCAAAAAAGAAAATTAAAATAAACATGCTGGAAAGTAGATCCCAACACCCTGGTGGGGATACAAATAACTCCCCGCTTCTTAGCTGATCTGTGTATGGTTTCCTCCAAACTCTCCCCCATGACACCCTACTAGGTTTCTATATTCCTCCAGCTGTACCATTTTGGGAAGCTCTGATTTAAATTAAGGCTGCATAGAAAAATGAGAAAAAAATCCTACAACAATGGGACAATGGATTACAAACCCTGAACACAAACTTGTAGATGTTAGCAAGTATTAAGTGTTAAAGATGTGTCAGATTCAAACTACTTGATTGTTTTTTAGTTACAACTATTCAAGTTTTAAAATTGTTTTAATAAATCTACTCTCCCCGAAATATCCACACACTGGATATTGGGATATTCCGTAATATAAATTACTAGTTCTATTTTGTTTTACCTACAGGTATGCATGGCATTTTTGTACGGTGTGTGGGGGGGTATTCATGTTTAAAGAGAATCTGTGGCTTGCCCTTCCAGTGAAAACCATGGTGGGTCAAAGCATATAAAACAATGTAACAAAAAGTGGCTGTGTTCAAACATCACATTGACCCAGACTTCCTACCTTATCATGGTTTATCAGGAATGAGCAGCATGCTAATGCACGCTGCCTGATCTCACAGCTGGAAAAACTCAGCATCGCTGGCAAATACACCTCTACAGTTACTGGGAACAAATGCATGCTGCTAAAGGAGCCATTTTGATGGAAGTCACTTTACAAAGCTACTCAGGAGACCACATTTCAGCCACTGAAAGCTAATTTATTGAGCTGACTCTAAAAATACTTTTTTTCCAAAGGCAAAAATTCTGCAGCTATTTCGCAATGAAGATTGTGTTCTGTGGAATACAAAAGATCTTAGAGCTGCAGTCTGCTTGGATGTTTCAGTGCAGTGCAAACTCCACAAAACCCAAAACACTGCAGGCAATGAGGTCACCTTCTGCAGTGCCATCTCTCTTCTAAAAAGATGTAGCCTGATCTGCTTTCCACTTCAAATATCTAACGCTGATAAGATCAGCTGGTAATACAAGACAGCAGAGTAAAATACTTGTACAAGGAATGCTAGTATTTAAAAGTACAAAGGCTCTGCAGATTTTAAAGGCTGTGTTTTAAATCAATCCACCATCGTGCCTCAAAATGCAGGAGATTGCTGGAAACAGGCTGCATGATAGTGGAAAAGTCTGGTGTCAGTTCCACGAGGTATTTATGCTGAGCATAACTGCTGCTGGCTTTTTGACAAGCGGGTTTTACATTCTTAAGATTGCAGTTCCTAGAAATACCAAGAGGGGTCCTTGCTTTCTTCTACTAAGAATCAAGCAGTTTATATATGCTTGAATACTGTTTTAGAAACAGTGCACAGGAGGAACAACTTTAGTTTGACCCTAAATTCCCAGTTCTTCTACCGAGTGTTTGATATTGATAGGGAACAACTTTAAAAGTCTATGTTATTTCAGAGTCTTTATCAGGGCCAAGAAGGTTCTGTGTCTACATTGAATTAAAAAAGTGCATAAGAGAATCCTTTACAATCGTATTCCTGTCCATATAGCTGGACTGGTTTTTAACACAAAAAAGCTTCCCCATCTTTGGTTTTAGGTTTTCTTTATGCCAACAGAAAAGAGGATCCCAGAAGTCTCAGGGATCCCACTGAGAGAAATTCCACTCATCTTCTGGGTACAAGTCAATACTAAAAATTTAACAGTCTTCTTCACACAAGGCTCCCAACTGCATACCTGGAGAAGCCATTTTCTTTTTCCTTCTTTATTTTCACTTCACCAGATGATTTACTCTGAAAACAGAAGTGAGAGCTGGTTAGTAAGCTATAAAAAGCACTGTCATATCTTCCCTGTGCATTCAAATGTAACTGACAAAAGACCCTTGTACCAGGAGCAAGTGCACCTCCAGCTATTCCTCAGAAACGCTTTCAGCATTATTGGATCTGGTCAATCCCCAATACGTGCTTTGTCCTGCTGTTTTCCTATCTATCTAGATGTTCTCCCAAAGTTTTTCCTTTTGTCTGGCCACAACTGCATAATTTGCTATCAACTCCTTAGCTTATTTAGACAAGGCTTCTGCTTGTACTGTTACACTGCATAATTATGTGCTTTGCCCAGACATGAACAGATGGGGTAGGAAAATTATCAAGGTACTGTCTGTCCCTCTTCTGTCTGTCAAGGCTGGGCTAAGGTGTGCACCTGCATCGGTGCAATGTTTGTAATATCCTGCATCAAGTTACCTACAGAATCCCTCCTCATGTGGAACACAATGGGTGCTGCAGTTCGGCCTGTAGCTGCTATGAAGTTTAACATGAATTTTATTATGACAAGTTTACAACAGCCATTTAAACAGACGCACAGTGATGTCATCTAACACCTAATGCCACTCATAGCCTTGAGTTTCTGTTGAAACTGTACGTGGGATTTGACTTGCAAAACAGCTTAAAAATGTCAAAAATGTGAAGCTGCTTGTGTCTTTATCCACAACAAAAGCCCAGTCCAAAGCAGTGCCATTCAGCCCCATCAGCATCCTGTACCTTTTCTTCCTTTCGTTTCTCCTTGTCTCTATCTTTGTGTTTGTCTTTGTGTTTGTCGTGTTTCTCTGAACTGCCATCTTTGTGTTTGGTTTTCTCCTTCTCTTTGTGTTTCTTCTCCGAGGAATCTTTGTGCTCACTGGAAGATACAAGAGTCAGTTGGGACAGGATCGGTAGAAACGACCAAGCGGATTGACACGCCAAGCCCTAGAAAGTTCTCTATTAATATGAAGAATCACACAACTGTAGCAATAAGGAACATAGTAAAGTCAAGATGCCTCGGGGACACCACAGACTAATGCATTTTCGCCTGAAGGAGTTTCAACAATATATGTGCACTGTTCAGTACACCTTAAGCCCAGTATTAACATCTTGGCATTTATGCTTTTAACAGCAGACATTAACTGGAACCTTCAGTGGATTTGTCCCCCTACTGAGACGGGGTAAAAAGAAGACAAATCCTGTAGTTATAACACCAAACATCATATTTATGGCTCATATTGGTATTGATAAATTTATTAGATGAGAGAAACAGAGGCACACAGCATTTAAGCAATGGGCTGTGGTTCACTCAATTCAGTCACTAGAAGAGCCAGAAACTGAGTTCAGGAGTTCTTTCATGTCTAGTTACATGCTTCTCCTGTTAGTGCATTTTAGAAACCAATGATGCTTGTGCCATATGACCTTCGCCAAGCCTCACTTCTTCCCTCTCCCCACCAGTGGCCTGTTTCACTTATGAGGGAGAGAACAAATGGAACGTATATTAAGGCTAAAAAAATTGATGGGTTTTCATTACATCAGAAAAAAAATGGTATATCTCTACAGTCATACCTCAGGATAAATACGCTTCAGGTTGAGCGCTTTCAGGTTGCGCTCTGTGGCGACCCGGAAGTAATGGAGCGCGTTACTTCCAGGTTTCGCCGCTTGCACAGACGGTCAAAATGACGTCACACGCATGTGCAGAAACGACGAAACGCGACCTGCGCAGACGCGTCTTATGTTCTGTTCGGGATGCGACTGGGGCTCCGGAACAGATCCCGTTCGCATCCTGAGGTACCACTGTAATTCTATTCTAATGCCAAAATCAAAACAAAACCCAGTCTCTTTAGAAAGTGGTCCATTTCCCAATTAACTATTCAGTGGCTGCTTAGACCACAATAACCAGAATTAAACTTGTAGATTACAGAGATGAATTGTTGAAAAACCCTTGAAGATGTGGTATATCCTGCTAGGGAAAGATTTAAGGCTCATGTGTGATTACATTATATCCAGGCACATGATAAAGAAAGCAGCTCTTAGAGAACTCCAACACTGCATTTTGAGATGTCTACTGCAGCCTTCTCCTATTACACTCATTAGGTTTCCTTACTTCATTATCCTGACCCTCTTGCCCCTCAATGACTCTGCAAGCTAAGTACTCTGGATTCCCCTTTCATTCCTCCCACTTGCTAGTGCCACTCTATTTCTTATGGTTTGATTCTCAGCTCCCACAAGCCCTTCCAATGTGACTTACTGCTTCTTGAATCTGGAAAATTCTCCGTCCCTAATGTAGAGACACATACCACAATGAAGTCAAATAAGCAACTATATTTATTACATTTTTATTCTGCCCATATCCTGATAATATTTTTAATGTACTTTTTCTTGGTTTTAATGAATGTATGGTATAGTTTGTTTTTTGTAAAGTTGATTTAAGTTGCCTGCAACAAGAAAAAGTATCTAATAAACTTAAATAAGAACAACAATATAGAACAAGTGCCTCCCCATATTTCAGCTCACTACCACTCTGAAAAGGTTAGACTAAGCGACAGTGATCTCCTCTGCTCATCAAATTAACTTCATGACCAAGTGGGGATTCGAACCTGGGTCTCCCCAGGTCTGGTTAAACATTATATAATACCAGCCTTCAATGTCATATACCTTCTCCAAATGCCCATAAAACATTTAGTCCTTTTAAAAATGGGATGCAATTTTTGAGTCACTTCATCATTTAAGTATTTAAGGCAAGAACCACTACATATAAAGAAATCATATTTACCAAATACAAAAAGATGGAATTTCTAATACAATCTTCTGTTCCCCACAGTGGCCAACCTTTTTTGGTCCACATAATTTATTTCAACAATCCAACTTTTATAAAATGGAAAGCCCACTTGTTACAACATCTAACAAACTTAAACTGGCTAACAGTATTTTTATTTCACTTTTGTTTTATGCAGTTGTGACCCCCCCCCCTTCATGAAAATGATGCTGAAAAGGTTAAGTTACATAACTTCATATCTAATAATCAGGTCTGACTTTTGCTGTCTGTTTGCCTGTTGCAAAGCAAGCAGATGCTGAATTAGGAATGCCTAAATGTCATCCGCTCCTTGCTTGGAGGACAGAGAATATACTTCTTTCTACCCATTCATGGTTTATTGTCTTGAGAAACTTGGGTTCCCAACCTCTATCGCTTCAAAAGAGAAAATAGGAAAGAGAAAAAGAAAAAGGGAAAATGTACAGGTGCTGTAAAGAATTAAGAGAGGATCAATACTGGCCTGGCTAAGTATGCTAGGTTATTAACCAATGTTAAGCCAGAGTTGTATGATGTAGTTTGGGTACAACAGGGAATAGGTTTAATGAAGTCAGGATTGTTGCACCGAACAGAGTGTTTGATAGTGAAAAGGGAAGAGACCTCTTAAAACCATGGTTTATAAAACAATGGATAATCATCAAACATTGGCCACTATGATGCAGGTTAATTGCTACTATGATGTACTCCAACAGACATGGACACCAGCAAAAAGTAACAGTTTTTAATTGCAGGAACACAACAAATTTTTAGCCAGCTTTTAGTCATGGCACATTAAAGATTCTTCATATTTTTCTACTGCAAAAACATCCTCTGATCTTTTTTTCATTACTTCTACCTGGGTGTATTAAATACAACTGACACGAATTCTTGTCACCTGCAGCACTACAATCAGTTTCCCTACTTCAGTCACAAACACATGCACCCCACAGCTATACAAATTGACAAGTAAAAAAGACAGACACAGTAAGAACTTTCCTGGTAACAAATACCTATTTAGAGAACATACACATATGAAATGTCACCACAAGCAAACTTCTCAACAGGAAAAAAAAAGAGAGATTTAATTTGCATGACAGCAGAAAATAGGAAAAAACCACCAACAAATGGTATGTATCTCTGAAGAAAAAAACTCACAGACCAGTACAGCCTCTAATAAATGAAGGTAAGCAAATGTGTCATTTAACTTAATATCGTTTTGTAATCAGACAAGAACTATTTGGAGCACCTCACATCAAGACATAAGCCCTCATTTTAAATGATGCCTGTTTGTTATGAATAAGATTGGCCACCCAGCTTATGTGCCAAAATAAAAAATAAAAAAATAAAAAGATTGCCATCCTGTGAAAGAGAGGACATAATTCCCCCCATTTGACAGGTGGGATGATATGGGGATGGCAACCTGGATCATACGTCAGCCTGAGATCAGGCAATATAGTTGACTCAAATCTACACTGCAATCCAGTCCTTGCTTTAAAAAGCATGTTCAGCATGTGCAAACAATCTCCTGCTGGCACAGACAAAAACCAATAAGGTGGCCAAGCATACATACAGAGGCCAAGCAGATTGGCAGCTGGATCTATCAGTGGTAATAGGATAGTGTCTTCCATGGCTCTTGAGGGCACCATGCTAATTGAACAGCTCTATCCTCCAATACAGGGGAATGCTGTCCCTCAGCATCTACCACCCGAAGCAGCAACCCCACTCTGCCTAATGGTAGGGCCAGCCCTGGTTCTCCTGCGCAAGCTCTGGAATTCCTTCTTCCACCAAGGTTCAGAACAAGTAAGGAAGCTTGCAGGGCAAGTTACCGTACAAAATTACTTTGGCCTTTTCCAAGAAGAGAACACTTCAGCTGCATTCACTGCTTAATTCTCAACCTGGCCAACAGGCACAGACTACCCTTTTGGAAAGCTTACCTTCTGTAGTAGGCAAAGCAACTGGCCCTAGTGCAGGCTTCCTCAAACTCGGCCCTCCAGATGTTTTTGGCCTACAACTCCCACAATTCCTAGCTAGCAGGACCAGTAGTCAGGGATGATGGGAATTGTAGTCCCAAAACACCTGGAGGGCAGAGGTTGAGGAAGCCTGCCCTAGTGTAACACAGTTATCTTCCCAGATGTAGGACAGCAGTGTGTTGCAGCTACTTTTACTCCTCAGCCTGGGGCAGGATGATAATGAATGGTTAGTTGTTTCCTGACAGCCTCTCCTTCAGCTAGATCATAGTAAAGGACACTCTGCTCCCTTTAAACATCAGCTCACAGCTTGCCACCGAAAGCTGCATTACATAGCTTCCTCTCTGAATCATGAAGAATGGATCAAGTCTATGCACAAATCAGGTTTAGAGACTGTTGCATGAATCAGTCTTCACTCATAGCTGAGCTAGGATCACAACTTTTATTATTTTATATTTATACCCCACCTTTCCTCCAAGTTGTTCAAGGCAGCATACCTGGCCTTCCCTCCTTCATTTTATCCTTGAAACAACTCTGTAAGGGCCTTAATAGCCTAATGTCTAATGACCTGGTTTTTAAGTGTTGCCTACAGAATTCTTATTCCGACAGAGTGCATAAGACAACATGCAACTGGTGTAAAGACTGAAAACTGGAGGTGGTTCTTTTTGCGGGGGAGGCAAAAACTCTGTGGTCCACCAAAGTGGAGGACTCAGATTCAGCACAGGAATCTGAAAGGTTCTTTCGGCCAATTACGTGTGGAGAAGCATGGTAGGGCTAGAAAACGATATTTTTGCTACTATGAAGTGATTTACTCAGTGTTTGCATCTGTTTCTGCTCCATGTTCCTTGTTTTCATAAAAGCTTTTGATTTGATTCACAGGAAGCAAAGTATTTTGATGATTTATTCTGAGATGTACTTAAAAAAAACCCTCTGCAAAAAGCACTTTACTTTATTAGTAGATTGATGCACAGCTATTCCTTCAGGAAGTGTTTCCTTCAAGTAGGCATCACTGTACTCTCTGGAAATTGCTCACAACATTAATGGCATTGCTAGAGTTAAGACGTAGCTTCTTGTTTGGAGATGAAATAAACAAACAAACAAACAAAAAACTGCACTGAATATGACATTCTGACACTCTGAGCCTAATCCTTGTGGCACTTATGTATTGTACTGATTCAAATAAATACATTTATTTCTTATTTATTATCTTGAACCAGCACAGGACTTTCAGCAAGCTATATAAAGAACCATATAGACTGTAATAAACCAAAACTCATTACAATAGTTACAGGCCCTAGATAAAATACCAGCTAAAATTCTTTCTCCAAGTTAACACCCCCACCAGCACTCCAATGAGCTGAATTACATTACAGGATGTGGGTGGCATTGTGGTCTAACCAGTGTTTCCCAACCTTGTGCCTCCAGCTGTTTTTGGCCTACAATTCCCATCATCCCTTGCCACTGGTCTTGCTAGTCAGGGATGATGGGAGTTGTAGGCCAAAAACATCTGGAGGCACAAGGTTGGGAAACACTGGTCTAAACCACTGAGCCTCCTGGGCTTGCCGATCAGAAGGTCAGCGGTTCAAATCCCGTGGAGTGAGCTCCTGTTGCTCTGCCCCAGCTCCTGCCAACCTAGCAGTTCGAAAGCACACCAATGCAAGTAGATAAATAGGCACCACTGAGGCGGGAAGGTAAATGGCTTTTCCATGCACTCTGGTTTCCATCACGGTGTTCTGTTGCACCAGAAGTGGTTCACTCATGCTGGCCACATGACCTGGAAAGCTGTCTATGGAAAAACACCGGCTTCCTTGGCCTGAAAGCAAGATGAGCACCGCACACCACAGTCACCTTTGACTGGACTTAACTATCCAGGGGTACTTTACCTTTTTACCTACAGGTAACTCTCAACTTACACATATTATACTTATGCTTTGTGCAGTGGTGTGTGTGTGTGTGTGTGTGTGTGAGTGATAAATAAATAAATAAATAAATGGAAAGCAGAGGAAACCCACCATTCCCTCTGCTCCCTATTTATTTATTCTTCCCTGGCCACCTGTGCACAGCTACAATTGCAGGCTTACAAGATTTTGGGGAAGCAGTGGAAGGGCTCTGGGACGCTGCCAGAGCCCTTGCACCGCCTTCACAAAGCAGAGTAAGCAGCCCTCTACCTCACAGGAGGGGGTTGTTCCCGGCTTCATACGTTTCTGTGTTTATGCGTGGACACCCAGAACTGAAATCTCGAGGAAGATGTGAGTTACCTGAATATAATGTCCTGCAACTTTATACTCTCTACTAAGAAGCCCTACATTTTTGCTACATTTACTTTGTACACCAGCCTGCTTTCCAAGTTGCCTCTGGGTTGAAAGATATTGGATGTTGGATCCAATATGTTGGATTCAAAAGCATGAAGATTAATCCAGAAACAATAATAAATTCAAGTAAACTTGAATGTAGGCTGGGCTCCTTTGGGAGGAAGGTTGCAGTATAATTGTAATAAATAAATTTTGCTCCCTTAATGGAATAACTTTATAAGTATGATAACAGCTATAGTACCAAGGCAACCCCCACCCCACCAAAACTTCAATATGGCTAGCCCAAACACTCTGGTTTGCCCCTGATCATCTCTTACACGTCACCTTATGCAGGCCTAAACCATTCTACAGGAATTAGGCCCGTCCCTTTGGCCAGTTTTTCCACTTCCTGGATCCTATTAAATGTAATTCAGCAACCTGCCTCCCTAACATGGGTGTATGCTACAGAGTTCTATGTAAGCAGAGACACTGCTTGAGCACTGGAAGATTTGCTGCCGAGCCAAGTTTGAGGTTTTACTATTAGTATATAAAGCCTTTTATTTATTCAGGTTATAGTAATTCAACTCCTGACATACGAGTTCTGGTCTCTCTCTCTCTCCCTAGTGCAGGACTGAGCACAGGTATATTTATGAGATGAAACATGGGAGGCATGTGATTTCAAAACACAAAAGAAGTAAGAATGGAAAAAGTGACAGAATTTCTTCATTGATTTACCATATTCCTGTTATACAAAGTGGGGAATGTGCACCTCCCCTACTTGCCATCTCAGCATGCCTGTCCCACCTCCTCAGACATCACCATACAACTTCTAAATATGGTACATGAATTCAACCCTAAAGCACGTGGGCCAATATTGCAAGAGCAATAGCCTAGAAAAAATTCTGAATTAAATGCATGATCCAAGTTATGTAGTCAGTTCACGTTGAGCCCCCATATAGGCGATCTGCGGCATAAGAGGCAGGATACACTCATATACTTAATCCCCTCCACACACAGGGGAATCATCTCAGTATACACTTCCTGATCTGGCACATGAAGTGCTTCAAATTGCAAATATTATGTTCTCAATGAATCTATTATAATTGAATCATGCCCATTACACAGTGCTTGCTTGGATGGGACAAGGCAATTTATTGTGTCTACTCAGTAGTAAGTACTACTGAATTGAATAAGGTAAAGGGGCACAGCGTGTCTTCTAGAAAGAGCCAAAGTATTGTGTTAGTCAGTGCAGGAAATCATCATGAATAGGTAGCCAGATAAGGAATATAAGGTGATTGGTATATAAATATGTTCATTTAAAAAGCCTCTAAGGTTTAGGAAACAGTAAAATATGAATACAATTACTAAGCAATCATACTTGAAAAGCTCTACATACCGTAATTAATTTGTCTGCATATAAATTCTAACCAAGAGCTCCTCACACAATTCATTGAATGGACACAAGTAAACAAGTGCATGATGAATAAGGTGCTACAGCCTGTGTCACTGTCTACCCTTTATCCACTGTGTTCTCACTAATAATAATAATAATAATAATAATAATAATAATAATAATAATTTATTATTTACACCCCGCCCATTTGGCTGAGTTTTTTGCTCCCCTTCTAAGGTATATATATTATCTTTTGGAATGCTGCAATGTGATTGAGATTACAGACAAGAAACACACCAGAGTAATGAGCCAAAAGCCAGGCAGGTTTTGCATTATGCCATGCAAAAAGTCCCTTTCTAAAAGGCTGTAAACACTACAATGTGGGTGGAGGAGAGAAGGGAGTTTCACAACAATTTAGAAACATTTGGAAGCACAAAGTGAAATACCACCCCCATTCCCTGCAAAGTGTGTTAACTAGCATTGCCGTGATTTAAGCAACCAGTAAAGTGTGCAACAGCTTAGCCAAGACATTTAGAGCCTCTGCCTCCAAGGTCTATGAATGTTGTAAGTTATGGAGTTATGTTGGCTCAGAAATATCTCCCATCTATCACAAATTGGAAAATGAAATGGTTTATTAAAATGTATTCAAGTTTAGAAAAAAGCACAAAAGGGATCGAGGTGTTAAACTTGTTAAAAGGTTAAATTTGTGTAACTGTTTAGGTACAAAATAAGGCTATGTGAATGGAGGGGGGGCAGTCATATATACCATAGGATAGCAGCCCCATAATTTGATATCTGGAAGCTATTCACAGGTTTTAACCTCAGTAACATTAACTTACATGTAACTTGGTTAACCCCCAAACAGTAAAAAAATAGCTGTCTTGAATTTACCATTTCAAGTGTCACTTTATGACTCAGGAAGATTATTAAAACAAGAGTTCCAATAAGAATGGCCACCAATTTATGTGGAGACCTTTGAAGTAGGGAAAGGAAGCCAGTACCAAAGCACTGCTATGCCTATCAAGAGCAAGCACTATTGGCTTTAATTTGTGGTGAACTAGCCTGCATCTCCTGCAAAGTTAAAGAGTATGTGAACAAAAGTGACTAAAGCAGGCTTCTTGCCTTGCACAATACTTAGGCCAGCCAATGTACTTATTGGCATAGTAGACACAATACTATCTGACCAACAACAGCCTGACTGGGCTAGCCAATCTCTGAGATTGCATCATGTCCACATCTCCCCCAACTATGGCTGGAAACAGCTGAGAAGTATGCCAATAGCCCAATCAGATGGGATCACATGAAGCAAGTGCAATGCGTGCCACCTCCCCACTAGCCAGCTGACAAGCACTCTGACTGTAATCTTGCAACCCCGTTCACATGTTTCCAGGCCTACTTTTGCATGTCAGGACAACAAACCGGCTGACAACAACCAGCAATCTCACCTGTTACTGTGCTTGGATTTCTCTCGATCTTTCTCTTTGTCCTTCTTGTGCTCTTTGTGTCTGTGTTCCCGGTCTTTGTGTTTATCTTTATGTTTGTGAGAATCTGAAAGCAAGAGAACAGAGAAACGACTTAGGAAATCGCTGAGAAGCTATGACAATTTCAAGTAAGCAGCTTTGTATTGGCTGCCACGAATATGCAACCTAAACATCCCAGTTGCAGTGATGTACATCACTTCACTATATGTATGAAATTGGCATCAATTATCAGGCAAACCCATGTGCATCCTCTACTGCTGAGGTCCTCAACATTTGGTGGGGCAATGGGCCTTTTTAAAATAGTTTTTAATGCTGTAACCTGCCCTGGGACAGGTGAAGGGCAGGAAATGAAATGAAATGAAATAAATAAATAGTCTGAGGACCTCACCCTATGACTGTTTCTCTCTGCTTCTCTCTGAAAATAAGCCCAAATATATTGTTATTATGTTCCCTGACATTTTACAGACGGGCACCTCTCCTCTCCTGGGATAGATAGGTTAGTATTTCTGATGCATGGAAAGTGAGAAAAAAGTGCAGGGGGAAAAGGTTTAAATGAAGTGTGCAGGTTCATCATATACCAACCTGTGGAAAAAACTAGCAAAGGATCACCACAGTACAGTGGACGCTCAGGCTGCGAACGTGATCCGTGCGGGAGGCACATTTGCAACCCGCAGCGTTCACAACCCACATCGCCACGTCTGCGCATGTGCCGAAACCCGGAAGTAACCTGTTCTGGTACTTCTGGGTTCGGCACGGTCCACAACCCAAAAACACGCAACCTGAAGTGTCTGTAACCCAAGGTAGGCCTGTACTCAGGACTTCCCTGCTCAAATAGATAAACCATATTGCCCCCAAGCGTAAAACCTTGCAAATATTAAAGATGTTTTGGTGTCCTGTTCTCTTCCACATGACATTTAAAATAATTGGTCCTCCTTCCCTCCCTCACATACAAACAAACAAACAAACAAACACAAACACACAGCACCGCACAACAGATTATGTATTCTCTGCTTACTGTACAAGAAAAGTATTGTCTTTTTCTAGCTCACACAGATATACATGCAGCTAAAACAATTAATTTTTAATTTGGGGGAAAGACGAAATTTAGAGGGGTCTTTGGGATGCATAAACAAACAAACAAACAAACAAACAAACAAACAAATTCTTGGGTGTTCATATGTAACCTATGTGCTACAGGTTACCAACTTCTTATAGAAAAAGCAGAAAGGGCCACTAGTAAAACTGGCACAGAAGGAAAAATGTCTAGACTGGAAGCACTCCTAACTGGAAGTTAGCTCCTGAATCTAACCAATTATTTGATCAACTGCCTTTTACACATTGGATACTCAATATCAAGTTAACAAACAGTTCAGTGGAGATTTTGATTGGAACATTTGATTTAAATTACCTAGAAATTCTACTCATTAAGCAACTTTCTAAATGCAAGCAGCTTTATTTCTCCTAATAAATCTTTCCTCCACAGCTGTTTGGAAAGCATCTCAATTTACTGGATCAACAAGTGATGCAGTGACTATTTCCTAATGCCACTGAGGACCCGCTAAAGGGAAGGTCCTCAAAATATTCCCATCTAGACCTGGTTCACGTTATAGGCAAGCCAAGTTCACCTATGGTCTGTTTGCTTACAAAGTATGCCTAGATAAGTTTCCTTAACAATTTGGTTGGTAATTCTACCCTAAATGTCATAGAGTTTTAATGTACAAGCAGTAGGAAAACAAAACAAATTTTGGAGAAACAAGTCATGGTTTGATGGACTGTGGGGAAACCTGTACTTAACTTGTGGTTTAACAAACCATGGTTGAGCATTATGCGCATACAGGGTTTTTCTTAAAATCAGCAGCCATGATATTCAGAGGTGAAGTACGGGAATAGAGGACTTTGCATATTGTACAGTTGTCCCCTCTGTTTTTCTAGGGTTGTTCTTTTTAGCTTCACCCTACTTTGTCCCAGTTCTAATCTCACAACAAAAAGCAGTAAACAAAAATGAAATGTTTGTGACATTTGACTAGGCTTAAGCTAAGGTCTCATAGTTACTGGACAGACTAAAATTGTTAATTTTGGATCAAGTGAAGACTAAATGCTTTCTTCACAGATGGAATATAACACAAAGTAGATAACCTTTCTTGGCTTTAGGGCCACATTTAATCTTGGCTAACACATCAAGTGCTACATACCAGAGGCGGGTGAAAGTGGGTTTGGCCACTGTGAAAGCCTTGTGACTATGCATGATTTCAAAGCTGCAATTGTAATAGAGTAGCCTTTCAAACCACCATAATTCTACAGGCAAAAACAGACAAACTACTTTGGCTTAAAAGACATCAGATTATCTTGGTTCACCGTAGCACAAAGTTATACAAACAGGTTCCATCAGGAAGGAAAACTAGATTATAACAGTTACTAAAGATCTTTAAAGCAACTTGCTTCAGTGAAAGCGATTATCTGGGAGCTTAACTGTAGAGCCAGCAATAAACTGTGTTTAATGGAAGTCTTGTAAACAAATTATTAGAGGAATCTCTTTAGACAGTTGCCTACATAAGCATAATGGAAAGTACAAGACCAATAAGCAGCAAGGAGGAAGCGAATAGGAAAAGAATGTGAAAAAGAGAAAGGCTTGTGAAAATCTGAGATGTTTGGATTACAACTTGATGTGAAATACTTGACAGGAAATATAGTATATACAGTAAAGTTTACAACCAACTTTTTGTATTATGGGGTCAGTAGGCGCACACTCTTTATCCACATCATACATAGGGCTGAAAGTGTATTCTGCCATACAAACCGAGGCCCTCACAACTGATCAGACTCCATAATAGAGTGTTGACATCATCTAGTAGTAATTTTGAGTTAGGCTAGACTGCTTGTACTACACTGCATACAAATATGTACATTTACGTGTTATATACACACAGAGGGGAATCACTCACTTAAAAGTGGAATGACTCACCTTGAAATCAATTTCCACCCTTCATTTATTGTAGAAATCATTGCCATTTTTACCATACCTAGATTAAATTTGATACAACCACTTGAAGCAATAAGAGTATAGGTGGGGGGTTAAATTCTTCTCCCTTTTATAATATCAAATACAATGTAAAATGTGGAGAAAATGACCACCAACCATCACAGGTCTCAGTGAATCCTGTTATCCCTGAACAAAAAGTAAAACATGTCCTTCTCTTGACCTATATTCCAAAGTGCAATAGAAACAGGCAAGACACCCTGGAAACCGTTATTTCATCATTTTAAAATAAATAAAAATGAAGCACATAGAGATGCACAAATATGCAATTTATGCATTCTGTACAGACAGCACAATCAAATGATTGTATAATAAATGGAGAAATGGAAAGTAAAAGAAAGTTAAGCAAGCTGAAAATTATTGTAAAGACTCGGGTGGGCGGGAGGGGGGGCATATGAAGCAAATGCTACCAGTGAACACTTTTCAGAAAACCTTTTTGCAATTCCAAGCAAAGACCCCAAGCACTTCCTTCTTCCAGCTCTTTCTTATAATTGTTTTACTGGCCCAGTGCCCTATTAGGTATTAGAAACACTCATAGAATATTTTGAGAGTATTCTGGCACCTGTCATTAGAAAGTCTACGAAGGGAAACCATTTATGCATATTTACAAAGATAAAAATCACTCTTGAGATCTAGAGACTTTGAACTCAGATTGGATTCCAAGGTATTTTGTAAAATGGGGAGAGGGATTAATGGAATTATGTGAACAAAGTTGGACTGAAGCTATGGGTTTGTAGGCAGTAGCATTGCCCTCAAAGAGTTTATTTCATTTTATTGTAGTTCAGTGTAGAAAATAAGCTGAGCACCTATTCCCACAGAATTACACACTACACTGTACTTCACCACCTTGTAATTTCATAATTATCTCTCCAGAACAAAGAGTCAATTTTGCTAGTGTATTCTGGAAGCATTTGACCTTCTGTAATTTCACTTCATTGTTTCAAGGTTCCAAACTCCTGGCCGCCAGCACTATCTGGGGACACACTTCATTTCCTCTAAATGTTAGCCACACATTTGCAAGAGTTTTAATCTGAAATATAAAGGCAGGAATTGCTACTATTATGGTAGTTGTCATATGCATGATCTCCATGTTAAAACTACTGAAGCACCTCTCAAAGCAATCTGTAATACAACTGTTCTTTTAGTAATCTTTGACACCCCTCCCCAGACAGAAACTAGTGGCTTAGGAATCCCATCAATGGAATATCCAAGGGCTGCAGTATCCAAAGCCACAAATGTGCCATTTCCTAATCCTTGTAAGCATTCAAATGTTAATAATTTTAATAAGTGTGAATATTTTTTCACACAGGCACAGTTCAGATGCCAACAGGCCTGGTGCCTGAATTCCAACAGATTGACCTCACCCCCAAAGGTGCACTCCTCCATTGTCTCCCAAGACAGATGGATGGCAACAATGAAGTTTAGATGCCACACTGGTTGCAAAACCATAGCTGAATGATCACTAGTGCAGTGTTTCCCAACCTTGGGCCTCCAGCTGTTTTTGGACTACAACTCCCATCATCCCTAGCTAGCAAGACCAGTGGTAAGGGATGATGGGAATTGTAGTTCAAAAACAGCTGGAGGCCCAAGGTTGGGAAACACTGCACTAGTGGATCAAAGGCTCACACACGTACTCTGCCCATGCAAAGTTAATCATCCTTTCTTGTATTAATTATGCTTTAGAGCTACACTTGAACTGGCATAAATATAAGTTACCATAGCCTTTAAACCAGAGACTGAAAGCACTCTCGGAAACTTTAAACAAATCTCTGGTTTAAAGGATAACTATGGTTACACCAGTTCAGAAATAACTCTAAACACAAAGGAAAGGACTAAGGAATTAATACGAAGAGAATTAGGGAAGGAGTGAAGAGCATGGGAATGTAGGGTTCTTATTAGTTCTGCCTTTACTACTGAATAGTTCCTAGATCCCACAGCCACCACTGTCACTACTCTGCCATATTACTGACTCAGAGGAGGTCATTCACTCCAAGGAATACTGGTTATGGGAGCAGTCAAAAGGAACGGGC